CCCGCTTTTTCTCCCGGCCCCTGCCGGGCGCCCCCCCCCCCCCAGTCTTTGTAAGTTTTTTTTACCGCACATGTCAATTCCATCCATGTTGGGTTATTAAGGACTGTCCCTTTTTTCTGAAGCAGATTCAGGAATACTGATGACACTGTCAGTATCTTTGTCACTAGCACAGTAGAGAACCAGAAGGGCAAAACAGCTCTGAACCATTGTGTAGAACGTGGGATGGAGAAAATGGAATTGTAGGTTATAGACCCCAAATAACCACAGTTCCTGCCAGTTGGCACGCTGCTGGGCATCATTCATTACATTCCCTGCAAGCTAGTACAGAAGCCATTGCCACAGAATCATCTTTCAGCTAAGTCATAGGAAGATCCACGTGCCCTTGCTCTGGCAGCAAAGTGCAGCAAAATTAGCTAGTGCAGATGTGGCATTAGATGAAGCTGTGAAACTCACGTGGCTTTGGGGCAGGATTTCTCTCTGTTCTATTCATCTTTCACCTATTGCAGGGCCAGAAGAGTCTGTGTTTATTGCAGCTGCTGTTAGAATACAGTTTGCAATTAAAGCTCTCCTATTGTAGCCATGATTATGTGTTGGGATCTGTATCAGTAAAGAACTGATGACCCTTATCGCTAATTATATTGCTTTATTGTGGATTGCTGCAGACCAACGTAGAGATATTTCTAGGGATGCATGAGGAAATGTGGTGATCCCTTGCATCTGAACTGCACCTGCTTTTCCCAGTAGGTTTGGTAGTAGGGGGTAAGCAACATATAGGACTCTTAAAAGGCTGTAAAATGGTATGAGTTACATAAATTGTTGCTTAGAAACTTAACTATAAGCACTTCTTAAAAATTAAGAAATTTGATGATATCTTAATTCTATATGAAAGTAGTTTTCTTGTATAGGCCATGTTCTAGTCTAAGTAACAGTTATTTTGCTACTTAAAACTCCTTCGTAGTTTTCAATGAAAGCATGAAGTAGTGAGTTTGCTGAAGTTTATCTTTAACCATTGAGTACAGCAAGTAGCTTAAAAAAAGCTGAAAACAATGAAATGTGTTTACTTATTTAGAAAAAAATGCAAGCAAGGATATAAGGCTATAGAAATCACTTTCAGATAAAAAAATTAAAGGTTTTGCATAGTAGAAACAAGTTACTGTCTGTTGGACTGACAGTATTGTCTCCCTCCAGGAGAAAATTACAGCCTTTTGATGTCTTATAGTCTAGTCTTGAAATTTTCTCTATTACGTCCGTTTTGGCACATCTTGGGATGAGTTGTGCAACAGCGAATATGAAAAAACAGCACCTCTGAAAGTTCACGTGTATTGGTTATGGTTTTAGGATTTCTTTCTTATATAGAGCTTTCTCTCTGCACATATTTTTAAGACGACGTGTTTCCTTACAGATATACCACAAATGAGACCAAAGCCACACTATGTAATGGTTAAGAAAGATGCTGAAACCAATGAGGCAATATATTGCACAAAGGAACCTTTTATTAAGGCTCGTGTTATTGTCATTCGATGGTTGGTGTCTTTCTGGCTTGAGCCAAAACCTCATACAGGACCTCATATTCCTGGGATGGAAGGTGAAAATGTGCCAAAGAATATTCAGGTAAAACCAAACATACAAAAAAAGTGTTTGTTTTCATGTTTTTGTCTTAATTATGTCAGCAGTGTGCACTCCTCTGATAATTATAACTAATAAAGTATTGAAAAAAGGGATTTCTAAACAAATTTTCTGCTTATGAACTTGCTTTAGAAGGACTCGTGATGCTTTTTTTTTTTTCAAATTCTGCTATTTTGTTTTTAATCAAATAGACATAAGAAGCCTTGAAATGCAGTGAATCCTACCTTTGTTTTTTTTCCCTGATTTTTTTATACTGTTTTAAATTATACTGTTGTATAACTTAAATTGTACTGCTCAGTTGTTGTACTAAAAATGAGCTATGAAATATTCTTTAATTTTTGTTTCAGAGAGCAGCTGCTAGCATGGCTTCAAGGGAGGACAGCAAAAATGACAGTACTGATAAGCAGGATAGAAATGCAGAGCCAGAACAATCTCATTCTAATACAAGTACTCTAACAGAGAGAGAACCAAGTTCTTCCAGCCTCTGCAGTATTGATGAAGAACATTTAACCGATATTGAAATTGTCCGGAAAGTCTTTTCTTCTAAAAGAAGCAATGTTAATTTTTTAACTGAGATTTTTCGACAGGTAAAGAACCCTCTTTAGAATGCAAGAATCTTGATTATTATATTGTAAATGATCATTATGTCATGGTTTTCTTTCAAGAGTGTTTGCTAAGCAGAACATTATATAAATCTACAGTTTTTTTCTGTCATCATCTTGCCTTTAAGGTTTAAGAATTGTAAAGTTAATATTCTGAAATATTTTCTGTGTAGTATATCCCTGGTTCCTGATTTTTCTAATTTTATTTCTTTAATAACCAGTTTGACAACATTTAACTTGGACTTTACAGTTCCCCATAGACAGGAATGTTTGATCTTTTCATACATCAACCCCGTAGCTATTGGAGCTCACAACCCAACGTATTAAAATAAGCCTCCTGTGGGAGTCTGCAGCTGTTAAGGAGCTGCTTTAGGAGCAATCGAATGTCCTTACCTTGATAGTGTTCGTGAGAAGAGTGGGACAGATGGCTATAGAAGGTAACAGCTTCTGCTTCTGACTTTACTGCAACCAGAAATGTTATCTGAGCATACTCAAAATAGTGTTTCTCAACTGGAAACTATTAAACAAATTTAAACTGAGAACATATGACAGAATATGGAGTCTTTATTTATAATGTCAAAATACATAACCGAGTTCAATGTGGGAGAACAGAACAAGATAGACTTTCTTTATGCCCCATGCTATAGATCAAAAAATGAAAGAGGTTTTTCTGAATACTAGTAAGGAAAAATATACTAAGTTTCATTTGAAATGCATGACACTAATTGCTTTAAACAGCAGAAAACTAAACATTTTATAACTCCATTATATCTGGATGAAATGGATATTTTCGAATGAGGCAAATAAATGTCAGAAGCTTATCCACATCCGGTGTGTTGAAGAGCTTGGAAACATTACTGAAGGAGATAACAGAGTTACCCAAATTCAGCTGCCGCTCAAGGGCATACAGAGTCTGAGACATTGAATGCAGAGTCTAAATTATTGGTGGTCAATTTAGAAACTGCCCCCCTCAGTGAAAGGGACAGCAAAGGCAATTTTCTTCGTTCTTTTCACAAGGCACTCCGTGAGTTATGTAGATTATTTGGATTTCATGTGTGGTTATGAGATCTCATTTAAGTCATTGTTTAGCCAGAAGTTTTCTGTATAAGTTCATTTCTAATATGCCAGATGTTTGTAATGTCTCTAAAACATTAGGGCTAAGTTATTCCAGTCAGGAGGAGGTTTCAGTTGTACTGAATAGTGGGAAGATTGTCTGTAGAAAAAAAGTTTTATGCATTTTAGACTCCAGGGTACAAAAAATGTATATGGGCTTTCAGGAGATTGTTAGACTTGATGAGTGACAGTGTGTGACTGATGAACTTGTCAGTTGAATTCTGTAATACACAGCAAAATTCTTTTTAGTGCGGTACTGGTATGAAATGTCCATTTCCAGAGAGACGTACCACTTGTATCAAGTGGGCCTTCCTTAAAGACATGGGCAATGCGTTTTCAACATTCACACCATGGACTCCATAAAACTATGTCTTAGCGTAGTTTATCTGTTCTTTTTTTTAATACAACTAGGACATCATGGTCTTCAGTAAACGTATTTATAGTTAGTTAAAACCTGACTAACATTAAGAGTTTCTGATCTGTGACTAGTTGTTACCAGCACAGCAGATACAGAAAACCTCCTGAAGAGGGCACTAACCAGCTGTCACGCTGACTCAAATGCACGATTTTTTGAAACAATAATTCTGACGTCTTTTCAGGGAGTTATTTGTTTTAAGGATACTGTTTTGTAAAATCTCATTTAGCTAAAAATAAGATACATGCCTACCAGTAATGTATGTCACTTGAATTTCTGTTAGTCATTTAGAACTGGTTTAACTCTACTCTTCCAAGTCCTCTGAATGGAAGATGTTGTAATAGAAACTTCTGCTCATTCGTTTTGCATACTTTTGATGAGTGTTTGGGCCTTAATTTCAGCAGGCTAGGTGTCGAGTAGACATGCCTGTATGGATTCTCATATCTCTCTCTTTGGCAGTGAGTAATTTATTTAAGATCCTACAGTGGCTGTATTGTTTTTTTTCCCCCTTATCCCTTAGAACCTCTACATTAGAGAGCCCAACTTGATTTCAAGTGTTGTAATTGTTTTTTTGTTTGTTTCTTTTTCTACTCACAGGCATTTCTGTTGCCAATATGTGAAGCAGCTGCCATGAGGAAAGTGGTAAAGGTGTATCAGGAGTGGATTCAGCAAGAAGACAAGCCTTTATTTATGAAAGAACCTGAAGAAATAATGCAATGCACAACTGTAGATTGTGATGAAAGCATTGTTGACCACAATTCATCAGAGAAAGCAAAAGAAAGAGAAGAGGTAAAATATTGTTGGTTAATATTTGTGCATCTTTTGGATACGCTAGTAGACACAGAATTGGCCTCCTCAACAGATTATATGTGGTTTAATTTGATGTCAGAGCATCTGTTGGGGAGAATCAAGGGTAATTAAACAGTGTGTGAATGGGCTACCAATTTGATCCATTATCTGTAGATGGTTAGTTCAATTTAAAATTTCATATAGTTTTATGAACTATTCTCAAGATGTGGATTATACAGTATGCCAACTTTCAGCTGTGTAAAAACTATATACCAATAAAAGGATAAGGTAAATAGTAGTTATTTCATCTAGATACTTTAAAATAATCGTTACAAACTTCTTAAAATATAGCTGTGTCTTTCAGATGCATCTTAAACATCTGTCTACCATTGTTCATTATTTAATATCTATTATATCCTTTTTCCTTTAATATATAAACCAAAATACCTGTCTACAAATCTATGGGATTTTAAGAAAAAAATATTTTTCAGGAAAAAGTAATGAACTCCAGTCATGTTAGAAATTCAAACTGGGCAAGAAATGGCTGTTACAAAGACACTTTGCATAAAATGTCCGAAATTGATACTGAAGAGCAAAATGTACGAGCTGGAGTGCAGTCAATATTGCAGGTATGAAATAGACTTGAGATCTAATTTTCATCCTAATAATAAAACTCGTTATCAGGTTAAAACCTGACTAACATTAAGAGTTTCTGATCTGTGACTAGTTGTTACCAGCACAGCAGATACAGAAAACCTCCTGAAGAGGGCACTAACCAGCTGTCACGCTGACTCAAATGCACGATTTTTTGAAACAATAATTCTGACGTCTTTTCAGGGAGTTATTTGTTTTAAGGATACTGTTTTGTAAAATCTCATTTAGCTAAAAATAAGATACATGCCTACCAGTAATGTATGTCACTTGAATTTCTGTTAGTCATTTAGAACTGGTTTAACTCTACTCTTCCAAGTCCTCTGAATGGAAGATGTTGTAATAGAAACTTCTGCTCATTCGTTTTGCATACTTTTGATGAGTGTTTGGGCCTTAATTTCAGCAGGCTAGGTGTCGAGTAGACATGCCTGTATGGATTCTCATATCTCTCTCTTTGGCAGTGAGTAATTTATTTAAGATCCTACAGTGGCTGTATTGTTTTTTTTCCCCCTTATCCCTTAGAACCTCTACATTAGAGAGCCCAACTTGATTTCAAGTGTTGTAATTGGTTTTTTGTTTGTTTCTTTTTCTACTCACAGGCATTTCTGTTGCCAATATGTGAAGCAGCTGCCATGAGGAAAGTGGTAAAGGTGTATCAGGAGTGGATTCAGCAAGAAGACAAGCCTTTATTTATGAAAGAACCTGAAGAAATAATGCAATGCACAACTGTAGATTGTGATGAAAGCATTGTTGACCACAATTCATCAGAGAAAGCAAAAGAAAGAGAAGAGGTAAAATATTGTTGGTTAATATTTGTGCATCTTTTGGATACGCTAGTAGACACAGAATTGGCCTCCTCAACAGATTATATGTGGTTTAATTTGATGTCAGAGCATCTGTTGGGGAGAATCAAGGGTAATTAAACAGTGTGTGAATGGGCTACCAATTTGATCCATTATCTGTAGATGGTTAGTTCAATTTAAAATTTCATATAGTTTTATGAACTATTCTCAAGATGTGGATTATACAGTATGCCAACTTTCAGCTGTGTAAAAACTATATACCAATAAAAGGATAAGGTAAATAGTAGTTATTTCATCCAGATACTTTAAAATAATCGTTACAAACTTCTTAAAATATAGCTGTGTCTTTCAGATGCATCTTAAACATCTGTCTACCATTGTTCATTATTTAATATCTATTATATCCTTTTTCCTTTAATATATAAACCAAAATACCTGTCTACAAATCTATGGGATTTTAAGAAAAAAATATTTTTCAGGAAAAAGTAATGAACTCCAGTCATGTTAGAAATTCAAACTGGGCAAGAAATGGCTGTTACGAAGACACTTTGCATAAAATGTCCGAAATTGATACTGAAGAGCAAAATGTACGAGCTGGAGTGCAGTCAATATTGCAGGTATGAAATAGACTTGAGATCTAATTTTCATCCTAATAATAAAACTCGTTATCAGTACATAAAGAGTGGAATATAGTGCAATACTCCTGCAAGGGAAACCCATGCTCCTTCAAAGCATCTCTGAATTGTATAAATTATTTTAGATTTAAAAAGTATGATGATAAATAGTGTTAGAATAATGACAGTGGTTCACTATATTTTTATTGACCTGAAGTAGGACAATGTATACACAAGTGTTGGATAACACAGTAAAAATGTCTTTGAATTTTGCATCAGGACATGCATTCTGCTCTGCATTGTATCACAGAAAAAATAATTCTTGTTTGAGTGCCAGATCATCAAATTATTCTAAGTAAGTGTTTAATGAGAATGCTTAGAAGCTTTTTTCTTTTAAGCTATTAGTCACTGCACACAAAACATCTGAACCTGCGGTTTTCCTAGTCTGAATAATAAGGTGTACAGGGATATTTTCTCATCTTTATCTGAATTACAGATTGGATGAGTACATAAGTGTTTGAAAAATTTGATCAGACACCACAACTCTCTACTTCAGTGGTGTCCTTAAGGAATGGGAGAGTTGCTGACATTCCCTAACAGAAGTTTACTAACTGCTTCTAGGAAATTTGGCAGGGTAGAAATTGTGTTACTTTCAAATGTTCAGCAAAATGCTTTACTGAAGTTGAGGATATAGAAAATCAAGCGTGTATAACTTGAGGGTCTTTGAAATGCTTTTAAGGTCATATAAAATGTGCATTTTATGTAGAATATGTGCACGTACATACATACAGGTGTGTATATGACTGTAGCCTCCATAATACCCTTTTATCCAGAAGAAAATTGATTCTAAACAAAATAAAATAGACATGTGCATTTGCCACTCCACCATCTGCACTTTTACCATGGGTGACCAGGCTGATTAGAACTCATTATTTTTACCACAGTTTGAATGATTTCCTGAATAGGGTTTCCTATTGTGTTGTACAGTTATATATAGAAATAAACTTTGTAACTGAAATAACTTTTAAATTCAAGTATGTTACAATAATTTAAGCTTCATAATCTTTGCATACAATGACTAGATTATGAAGTGTTTCTGAGAAAAGAAACAGTGAAGTATCTTTATTGGTTTGCAATGTATCACTAAGGTTTACACATCTGAGAGTGCCTAGGAGGTTCTTCATGTTGAAGTTTTTTTAGACAAAGGTTCATTTGACCAGCAAATATATTTTTTAGGCCAAAACGGAGTCAAGACATCGTTCTAACCCCGTACCATATCTGAATTTGAGAGGTTTCCCGACCTGGAACCACATTTGACTTTTTCTGTGAATCAAGAATCCAAGACTTCTGTCCTGAGTTTTCTTCCCATTTAATTATTGCATAGACTTATTTCTAGGCACTTAGAGTAGGGTGGGTTCATTAGTTGAGGCTAGTGAATGTAAAGCTGCATACTAATAGTTTTTAATTATTAAAATCCAAAGCTCTCAGCAGAGGGAAATTACAGCTGTAGAACCAATGATTTCCTGTACATGTGGATTAAGAAAGACAAAAATTAATTGGAAATCTAGGGCTCACCGTGATTCAAATAATTCCTAAACTTATATAAAAATATAACAACGCTTCAGTAGTAGCTCCTGTAACTCCTGCAGTGTCCTTGCCTACTTGGCTTTCATCATTTTCATTCTGAAAGCCCTAATTCACTGTCCAATGAGGTCAACCACTTTGGAGAAGTGGTTCATGTTAAAGCCTTTCATAAGCCTTACTGATCACAGTGGGATGAATGCTTTAGTTTCCCAGAACATAATACAGGCCTTGTCATGCTGAAGCACACACTGTGTACCAGGACTATTTCAAGTAGTTTAGCATATATTATGCTAGTCAGTTGCTGGCTTACAGGTGGAACTTTTGTGCAGTGGACTTCTTTACTGGGACATTTTTGTCCATCATATTAAAATAATAGTATTGAGTAGTTTGTTGTACCATCTGTCTATGAGAGCAAAAATAAACACACGTTTTGTAGAAAAAAATGGGGAAAAAAAATCAGTCTTATTGTTACTTTATTATCACATCAAGCTAACATATTTGAATATATACTTCTGAGTGTATATGCAGCCTTTTCTGTTAATCATAGTAACCAGGAAGAGAAAAATCTATCAACTGAATTGATGAAAAGATCAAAGTGCTTCAAGCTCGTAACATGCACTCTTTTCTACTTACAGGTTTTTATAATAAATTCTTCAAATATATTCTTTCTTGAACCTGCAAATGAAATTAAAGCTCTGTTGGATGAACACACTGATATGTGTAAACGCATTCTTAATATCTACCGTCACATGGTAGTCCAAGTGACTATGGACAAGAAGACATGGTAAAATGCTAATGCTTTTATCCTTAGACTATTAGTTCACAAGATAAATGTGAAAATTTACTTGGTAGTAAACACAGTAGAGTGGTATTGACTATGTGAACCAGTTTCTCTAAATCAGTAAATACATGGACTTTAACATCACAGACAACTTACCAGAGGGGAAGAGGTTATCTGCTCTGTTAAAGCCAGTAGTAACCACCTAGTTAGTTTGAGGCAGCTTAGCCCTCAGTGAAAAAAGAAGTAAGCTAGGATATACAGACAACTATTAAGGAGCTACTGATGACTTTTTTTCCAGGGCGTTTTGCTCGTGTCAGTGCTAAATATGAAAACATACTTGAAGCTTCACAGCCTTATTTAAAAATAAACAAAAATCCTCAGATAAGCATGGATAACTATTATAATCAGATGTGGGTTGCTCTTGATCTGTAATTGTGTACAGGGCTCCGTGTACTGTTTAACTGTTTTGTTCCTTTCCAGTGCTTAAGGTGCCTAGCAGGTACAAGGGACCCACTTCCAAATTCATTTCTATTATTTCACCCTCTCCTTTAAATAGCTGTCTCTAACGAGGTAGTATATTGCCACTATTCTCCATCATAAGAAAGTAGTAGCAAGGGGATTTCAAATGGCTGATTTACTCCATTTTAACTTGACTTGCATTCAATCTGTCAGTATTTTCTGACAGTAATTTCTTTTGCCAGAACCAAGTTAGGCTGTTTGTAATCGCTGTGTCCTGTTTGGAATGTGTTTGAGCAAGTCAAGCTCGGTTATTATCTCTAAAAGTATCCTGGTATATACAGAAGTATAACAAAAAGGTAACTCCAAGTTTAATACTGTTTTGCAGGGAACAGATGCTACTTGTGCTGCTCAGGGTTACTGAATCTGTGCTGAAAATACCACCCCAAACCTTCTTGCAGTATCAAGGAAGGAAAAACTCTACTTTAGCTGGAAGACTTGCAGGACCTCTTTTCCAGGCAATTAAACATAAATTCACTTTAATTAATCCAGCTTAATTTTGACCAAGCGATTAGATGCGACAACCACTGTTGGCTGGTTTGTCATCTTAAATCATTGATCATGTTACCCAGATAATGTGAATGGTGTGGGTTAAAGAACTGGCTACATTTGTTACTTTCTGTCTTATATTTAATGACACCGTCACAATGGTTTTTGGGGTACTATGAAATTAAATTCCCGTCCTTTAGTTGAGTTGTGATAACTGGCAATGTGTGCAGTTTTAGCCCGCTTCCATTGCAAAATTAGCTCAAGTCAGCACAAAATCTTCTGTGCCATCCATGCCTAACCAACTGATTTTTTTGTTCCTTACAGTAAGCTGTAGCAGATCCTTTCAAAGTTTATAGTTGTAGAGAGCTGTTGTGGTGGCTTCTCTGTAAATAGGATCTGTAAAGTCTCTAGATTCTTTAGTAGGAAAAAAAAAAGGTTACACGAGATACGAATGTGATGAGAACTAATTGAGAACAGTATTACAAAACTCTTTGGCAAAGCTTGTAAGATACCGAAAGATCTTTCATGAGTCAAACTAGTTGTTCCTGTGTCTAAGTCAGAAGCCCATGTTAGCATAACACTTGATAATTCATGAAAAGTCTGTGTGTACTGGTGAGGAGAAGAATGTCAGGACTACACAGAAATTTCTAGGGCAGCTAGAAACTTCTTTTTAAACGGTAACACTTGAATGTTGTCATCTTATGTTCGGAACCCAACTTTTCTCACTTTATTCTTTTAGACTCTTATAGTAGCTTGGATCAAAGCGAATCTAAATGTGTACATCTCTCGAGAACTCTGGGATGACTTGCTGTGTGTAATGTCATCGCTGACATATTGGGAAGAGCTGGCCACTGAGTGGTCACTGACAATGGAGACACTAACTAAAGTATTAGCTAGAAACTTGTACAGCCTGGACCTCAGTGACTTGCCATTGGATAAATTAAGTGAGCAGAAGCAGAAAAAACACAAAGGCAAAGGTAAGACAATACTGTATACACATCGTTTGAATTTGAGCTGGGATAGTGAGATGTTGGGCACAGAAGAATTTTGGTCTAGCCTTTTTAGTGCACCTAATTAAACTCTATCACCTGAAATAACCCCGTTTCTTTAAGATACGGCTGCTTTTTAGAACCACCACAAAATCTCCACTTAAAGATTCAATCCTGCAAATAGTTAGGCACATATGGAACGTAGTTCTTAAAGGTGTGTTGAATTTAACCTAAAATGTTACACTGTAGTGGGTTATGCCTTTCTCCTTTTATCAAAGCAATTAAATAGTTGAGTTCCAATCATAACTTCTTGAAAGTAACAAAGATTACACATCTGGTAAAAAATGAGCTAGCTAGCAAGTGGCTATTGCAAGCACAATTGGAATATTGATCCTGAAATCCAATGAATGTTGTTTAAAGATGAAATGTAAGATTAACATAGTTTTGTTTGTGTTCTAATTCACCACTAAGCCATGTTGAAGACAGGTTTTGTCGAAGTGACCTTGTTGGACTGTTTAAGAGAAAGGATACTTTTAATTATCCCTATGAATGGTACCAGTGTTTAAACGGATTCCTAAACAATGCAGGAAATACTCTATAGGACATAATATGGGGAGAGGAGGTGGCTACTTGCTTATAATGGTACAGTTCTGGAATTGTTAAGGGACAGGAAGTCTGTCCTCCTGGATAGAGTGCTGGATTGAGAGTTGCGAAACCTCCCAGATCAGAGACTTTCTGCATGTGACCATGAGCAATCACTTCTGTCTTTGTTTCCACTTCTGTAAAACATGGGTAATGATACTGTTCTCCTTTAAAAAGTGCTTTGAGATCTAATAGTAAGAGGCAGGATTGTATTTAGGGTGACTAATAAAGGTGGGAAAAAAGTGTAATTTTTAGTCTACTTTTTCATCTCTGTGTTCCAATTGATGTGGTTCTCCAGTCAAACCTGGGGGAAGGTACTTCCTACAATATCCTAGGGTTTGTCAGTGAGATGCGGATGTTCATTTTGCTCTCTTAAAGAGGATGTTCATGTAGGCTGTTCTTTGCTAAAAACATTTCACATGCTTCCAAATTTCTCATCTTGGGCAAAGGCATTATTCACACTTTCGTTTTGTTCTTCTGGGGTGTGACAACTGGACAAAAATACATTTCTCTGTAGTTGACCCTGAGAGGTTGTTCCAGACCATGCATTTTTGTTTTCCTATGCTATACAGCTTTCTTCATTTTCTTGCAAAAGACTCAGTTAAAAAAAATAGTAGTCAGATACGAGATAAGAATGTGTATAGTTATTTGAATAACTATACAAAAAACATTTTGAATCATCTGTATCACCCATACAGAGCCACATGAGAGGAGTTTATGTTAGCCTTCAGTAATAGAGTTCCAGAGAAAGCCTCCATTGTTAAATGTGAGTTGCAGAGTTAACTCCAGCTTTGGAAGTAATAAATACCATACAAATTATGCCAAATTTCTTTGGCCCTGTTCATTTGCTAATAATAATGAACATGTTGTACTAGGGCTCACTTTCCAAGAAGATGCCCTTTTAATGATTGTAATTTTTTATCAAGTATAATTTTGGATTATATGAGTTGAATGTGGGTAAAGAAATACATTGCAAATATTCTTTAGATCACTACTTTTTTTTGCATACAGTTGTTTTTGATAGCTCCTCATATAAGCTTTATTTACTTCAATAGAAATGTCAAATCTGAATTTGTTCCATCTTTTCTTAATCTTAGCATAGTATTTTTTTGTGAATTTCCAAAGAGCCTTGTTCTCTGAGCCCATCATCCCATTCTTTTGCTTTTGCATTTGGTGTTAAAATATTTTATCATCTTTATTTCATGTTCCTCAAATGTCACGAAATTATTTGGGAAAAAACCCACAATATTAATGGTCTGTAACGTATGATTTTGTGTGTCTTGTCTAATAGGAGCAGCAAAGGAGAAGTTTCTATAGTTAGACATTTTTACCAGGCCACAACCTTTGTAAACCCAGTTTTCTTGTGGTTTTGCACTTGATTGGTCAGAAAAGAAAATCACAATAGTTTAATAGCACCAACACTTCTGAAAAAGTTTGAGTATCCCTCAGTGTTAATGCCAGCTGAGTGGGTTTATGTATTTAAAAACCAGTAATGAGCTGTTTAGCTTTTAAAATCATGCTTGCTTTGATAACATAATTTATTCTATCCGACTTTAAAACTCTCTGAAAAAACACAACTACAAATATCTGGTGATACCAGAGTAGAAGTGGGTAGATTTGCACTTCTGTTTTTGCAGGAGTTGGGCATGAATTCCCAAAATCTTCCGTTGATAAGTCCTTTTCTAGAGGCTGGAGCCGTGATCAGCCTGGACAAGCACCAATGAGACAACGCAGTGCTACAACCACTGGCTCTCCAGGCACAGAAAAGGCAAGAAGCATAGTACGGCAGAAAACAGTTGGTACGTATCTGTAAAAGCTGATATAAGTGACATTTGAGAAAGGGTAAGGAATTAATAGCTGACTTTTGTAGCGATGTGGATAACTTCTTTCCACAAAAGTATACTATCAAAAATAATTAGTTAAATATGTAAATTATGCAGCCTTATGTGCTTTAGGGTAGCTGAATAGCTTGTGGTTACTAGAATTGTAGTTACTGCAAATGAAAGTAATGCAGTTGATGTATTAATTCTTAATGAGTTTGATCACATGCTTAAGCTGGATTGGAAAAATAATACTGTTTGTATATGAAAGAGAAAAAAGCTGTAATGATTTTAGCAATGGTATGGATAGGTGGGTAATAGAAGGCTTTTCAAGTGCGTGTTTTCATAAACTGTGCACAAAATAGGTTGAGTATTTTCCAACTAGTGCAAAGAAAAGTGTAAGAAATATGTATATATCTGCATAGTTTATAAAATGTGTTGTCTTTTACTATACCCTGAATCTTGCATTAATGAAAGATCAGCACATACGTGTGCAGTTCTCTATTTCTGAAGTCATCTATTTCTCAACTTCGTTACTTGCAGATAGTCTTTCCTGTGATAGAATTGAGTGATGCTTAACAGTGCTTAGGTGAAGTGCTCAAAAGAAGACTCATTTATGTTCGTATGATTTGCTTAGAATATCTTCACGTGAACTGGACTACAAATTTCTTTACTCATTTGCCTCATCTTGATGATCTCAGTGCTATCCCTTATGTGAAGGAAAATTAAGCTGATTTTACTTTTTTATTTAAAAGAAGAACCTTTTAAGGAATATCTCTTGCTTTTTTACTGTCTCTGTAGTAGTAGTGGCTTCGGTCATTGTGTGTTGTTGCTTCACTGATACTTCTTGGAAGCAGGTACATTCTGACACAGTTTTAGAAACCGGGGATGCATATTGACAGTTGAATATATAATTGTGTTAGCTTTTCAGAAATTAACATTTTCTTTCTCTTTCCAAAAATAATTGCAATTAATTTTTTTAAGTCACAGAGGTTATTTAACCAAAGTTTTTATTTTAATATTCTTCAAAATTCTCCATTTTAAAAATTTGTTTTCTTGTAAGCCTTTTGTTGGTGTGGGAGAGTTAATTGTTCTATAAGCAGTACAGACATGTGAGAAAATGAGTCCCTACTCCAAAATTTCCTGTCTTTTTCATGCATTCAAATGCTACACAGCTTTTCCTGTATCTCATGCTGACAGCACCTAGTTTGACTAAAGTTTTCCTTATGGATCACAGATACTTTAAATGTAATTTCTGCTTCTCTGTAGATAGTCTGTGATTAACTGTTGCAGTGTTTTTGGTTTAAATCTTAATTGTCTTAACAAGGTAAAGCTCATGTTAAAATTTCTCCTTCCCAAATTGTTAATAATTCAGATACTCTGTCAGAAGATTACGTTGTTTGGTCAATTTATTAATGGTTTTGTTTTGCTGCTATTTGAAAGATGGCTATTTACATGATGTTAGCCCTAAAATGACTGAAATTTATCCTAATCAAGCTATATATTGACCTGGTTAGCAGCAAACTAATCTGATTTTAGTTTCACTGTACTTCAGCTTCCATGGTTTTGTTCCTTTCCTCCAATTATCGTACATATTTGATATTAATAAGCCAAGTTTGTATTACTGTAACCAGTTAAAATTTCAGCTCTATTCATATTGTAGAATACCATCTGGACAAGCATCACAGCATTAGTAGGACGATTTTAAAAGACGAAAATCCCAAAAAGAGTTGCCAGAGCCAGAATCTCACACTCTTCAGTTTTTTTAAAATGTTAACGAAGAACATGTTACTGTCTTAACTGTCTGCAAACAGTTGCTTGTTATTGTCTCTCAGGTCTGCTGAGAGCACTGTTTGGATGCTTCTTAATCTGTGCCAGTTAACACAGGGTCACATAATAAAAAAAGTGGTTTATAGTCACAATAAGTAAAATTTTCTATAGAACATTTTGCTGGTCAGATCTTCTCGTTCAGTTTAACATTAGCTCCACAAGCTAAGTCTGGAATTAAGTCAGACCTCAGATATGTTGCATGATACCTGATATGTAGTGTATTTCCTTTGATTGTGAGTAATGTACTCTTTGTATCTGAGTAGGGGGGATGTGCATGTTGAATATTTTATGGTAAGAAAAAGCTGGGGTTTCTTTTTCATCTGTTTTATGTTGTACACATTTTGTGTACATCTGTGCACCTCTATCTTTTGAGCCATCCTCATGCCAGCACACATTTATTGCTGCACCAAATTTGTGTGTATGTGTGTACTCAAATAAAAATCACAGCTTTTCTGGTATGCAGTGTGTACATTTTTAGCCTGAACTTATGTAAAGTAATTTTTGGAAAAGGGCCTTTAAACATGATATGCATATGGGTTGAAAAATCTTCTATAAGGCTAGGTACAGAATTTGTGGCTTAGGCAGCAGATTCTAGTCCTATCAAAATATCAGATCAGAAAGAATTTACTAATCTATTGTTCTGCTTTTGTCTATAGACAACAGTGGAAGCTTATAAACTGTCAAATATCTAGTTCACATTCTGGTATTAAGTCTGCCTCTGCTTAACTACTTAATTGAAATTATGTGACACATCTTATTTAAAATGATAATTCACTGAGGTCACATTTTCCTTTTACAGCATCTCAAAGTTAATTTTGCTTTCAATAATAATACACTGCAATTTTTCCTTCAAAAGTTTCTGTAAAATTTCCACCTTCCAAATTGTAAATGGGTTGTTCTGCACACCCCACACACCCCCCTTGCTAGTATCAGTGTAATATGGTAGAAAAGATCCAGTCAAATTACAAGGGACATTTCATGTTAAGATTTGTAATGAACACAGTATCCAATCTCAAAAGCTTGGTTTATTTAGAATCGTAGAATCATTTAGGTTGGAAAAGACCCTTAAGATTTACTATGTAGCTTGTTATTTTCTCTCTTGCCTACATTCATTTTAAGATGCACAATGATGAATGTAATGCATCTAACTATCCCTGTATCCTGAATTTTATTATTGCATCTCTTAAACAAAGAGATGTTAAAGCCTTACACGTAATTGCCTTTTTTGTTTTAAAAATTGGTTTCTGTCTTATAAACTAAGTTTAATAGAGAATGGCTTCAGTCTTAAAACGTCTGTCTTTCTGAATTGTTTTTTCAAACTGATGTCAAGACTCCACTTAAGTTGTGCTGCATTTGTCAAATGTTTTCTGCTCTATGTACGTTGATCTACCCAAGTTATCTGCATGTTGCTGTTAGGGACAATTCTTTAACCTGATTTAGAAGTGTGATGTGCTCAACTTTCACTGCACTCCATTCATGTACTTCTGATTCCCATACAGATCAGGAGCACTAAGATTCTAAGTCTATATTCCATGTTGCTTTGAAAATACATGTAGAAAAGTTCAAAGACTGATTAAATATTGTACTGACTATTTATGTAAGATGCACTGAAGTTTCCTTAAAAGAAGTTTATCAGCAACTATTTTAAAACAAGTTATCAAATTTGCAACAGTTTGAAAAGGAAGCTGCTTGAAACAATGAATATTACTTTTTGAAGAACTTCAAGTGTACTTTGAGATTGAACGCAGTATCGGTTCTTGCTACGTCTTACTCTGACAGAGGAAAATAAGTGTCATAAAGATTCATTTTAAATCTGTTGAAAAAGCTGCAGATATAACCTTGATCCTGATGCCACAGTTCTTATGTAAGTTTTCCATTCTGTAGGACTGTTGGCAGAAGATGAGATATGAAAAGGTGAATTAGTTTCAGTTTAGCAAGATTTATCCTGTATCAATTAAAAGCCAGACCCTATAGATAACAAACAATTTAATGCTTTTTGTTGTCAAACCATTTCACTTCAGTCACTTCATTTTTAATGTGGAACTGTAACAAGTCGTATGGCAAATTTCTCCACACAGAATTGGTCATTTTCTCTTTATGCTTTTGAATCTCTTTTGGAGAATCTTGAATTCAAGAGTATGGGTATGTGTAAAATTCAGATACTTTTTCCGGACTAAACTGAAGGAAACTAGAAAAATGCAAATGTAGTCTAAGTTGCTTTTTCTGTTAAAAAAATTCAAGTTCTGAGTGCTTGTGGAGTGACTTTAACTTTGATTTTTCAACCCCTGATGCAATGGGAAAAAAAGTGTTAATTAGTTTCTTGATTTTGAATGCAAAATCTCTGTAATCGTCATAATAAAGGCATTGTTGCTGCTTTACATAAAACTTAAAAACTCAAAATGTCTTATGTGTCCACTGATTTTTTTCTTTCTTACAGCTCTGCCAATATCTGCCGTGCTGAAACGTTTTAATTTTTGAATTTTCTTCCTTTTTATCTTTGTTTTCTCTGTTGCTGCTTTTTCTGTGACACAAGCCTTTCATTATAGTCACTCTTCTTTTTTCCTTCCCCACTTCTTTCTTTTCCTTTTTAAAGCCATGAGAAGCCGATCCATTGGTGAATGTGCTCTGCCATCGGCCTATATACGCAGTGCTAAAAGTGCTCCTGTTCTGATCCATACTTCCAAACCCTTCTTGCCTGATATTGTTCTCACTCCCCTTTCTGATGAGCTTTCAGGTAGTGCCACCTCTGCTAATTTCTGCACCCCCTTTATCACTTTTTTAAACCTTCTGCTTTCAAATTCTGCTAAATCATTAAATTTTTCGAAGTAAAAATACTTGGGGGATGGGGGGAGAGGGGAAGAGATTAAGAATGAATATGTTGAGTTATGTAAAATACCATGCTATTTTGCAATTCATTCTGGAACTGTTGGAAGTTAGTGCTGTGCCAATGTTTACTATCATGAAAGTAAAAATTAGAGAAATCTCTTGCTTTTTCAATTTATTGGTAAGCAGTAATATAGCATCTGTCTACCAGAGAATACAACTAATCTAAAGTTTTTATTTGTGATGAGTGAGGGAGGAAAAGGAAGAACATAATTTTACTTTGACTTGCCATTTACATCTTTCTACGTAAATTTTTTAATTCAGTGTCATAGATGTTGTGTGGACAACCATGATAATGATATACTTTAGCTCCCGTGAAAAAAGAATGTCTGAAGTATATGGTATCATATAATATGCTTTACAGTATGCCTGTTTTTCATTAATACATAAAACCATAAAACAATCTGTAGTTTGGAATTCTGAAGTGCTGTGTTTTGGTGTTGTGTTCCAAATGATCCATTTTCTACAGAGTTGTAGTTTTCCTCAACATTATGTTGTTGTCCAGGAGGACAACAGCAGGGAGGTTGGCTAGAAGTTTGACAGTAGCTTTCTTTGGATAATTTTCTTTGAACAAATAGGTTCACCAATTAGAATTAGCACAGATTTTAAAAATGCATGCATGAAAGTTTACAGATAATGTTATTTTTTTTTTCCTGTGCTGCAGCTATTATATAGGTGTAAATTAGTAGCGTGTAAGGCTGACAATCATATTACGCCTTTGTCTCAATGAGTGGGAAAAAAAAAAATGAAAGCACAGTGGGAGGACTATCTATACAGTCAAAACTGTGTGCAAATATAAGGACTTAATGGCAGTAATTTTTTTATGGAAGTTATGTTCTTTTTTTTTTTTCTTTTCTGTCTCTCCTGCCTGCCTTTGTTACCCAAGAAGTATCAAGAACTGGATTTTCATAATTGGATTTTGATGTGCGTCCAAGATTAAGTCGTCTTGTTGTGAAACAGAAATGTGGTGCCTTATTAGTCAATCCAAAAACATAAATGGAGACTCGGGAAAGTCCAAGGAACCCACTCTTAGAGATACCAGACTTTCACAATGAAAAATTATAAAGTATTTTAATGCAAATCTTGACACCACAAAGAATAATAAAATACAAATTATATGTAATAAATTAATAATACTCATCCAATACAAAATCTGCACGACCAATGTAATTCTTAAAAGTGAAATAATTTTACAGACCTTTGCACTTCTAACACAGAAAAAGTCCTAGGCGCTTCCTGGTTTTGGTGTCTTCTCCAACAGATGGGTGTTGAAACAGCTTCATTATGTGCCCAAGAATCTTGAACATTGCCAGAAAACTAAAAAGCTCTAGTGAAGAAAAGCAAGCCGTTAGAGTGTTGATGGGGAAGTAGCAGAGTAAAGGAAAAACTATCCACTGGATCAGAGTGCACTTTGCTCTTTTAATTGTCTGCCTTTTTTATTGCTCTCTCTTTTCTTTCTTTTTATTTTTAAACATGGAGCTTTATCATTTTCCTTGCCTTTTCTTCTTACAGTAAATATATTCTTTTCTGAAAGCCTTCTGTGTCCAGATTTACAGCATGTAATTTGGGAAGTAATCAGATTGTGTCTATCGTAAGTGTGCTTTAGGTAATGAATGATGTTTAGCTTGCTGTGACAGCCCTTCCTCTTATTTCACAATTATATGAATATCCCTGTTATGCAAACTAAATTTCAGATCCAACACAACTCGAAGGAGAGGATATTTCAAATGATTCCAAAAGAAGAGGATGCCCTTATCTTAAGTTTTCTGAAGTAGTATTCAGCTCCTTTTTAGCTGTGAAACTCCTCATTGGAAGATTGACTCACTGAACACTGATGAATCTTGACAGGTAGTCCAAAAGAAAGCATTTATGCCAAAACCTTTACCTTATGTACAGTACAGGATATTAATTTTCAAGAGGAAGGCAGAAGACCCCACTATAATTTGTTATTTATTGAGGCATAATGTTTCTGCTTGAAGATCAGTCAGTAGGTTAACAAAATTTGTTACAAAAGCTCAATCTTAACATCTAGTCATCTAGCATCATAGGGGATGCTTTTCCTAAGATTGTAATTCCGTCATGTAGTTTCTAAGTTATGCTGTATTTCCATGTGCAGAGTATTTGCAACTTTTCAAACAGGATCCAGAAAGTGGAAGTGGAGATTTATGCTTTAAGATGTTTAGTTAGTAGTTTGGTACAGTGCAATTGTTGCAAACCTGCAATATTTCTAAAAAGAACTTTTCTATTAACCTGTTAGAATCACAGGAAATCCAGTCTTACACATTTACAGGGTAACTAGCAAAATAATGATTCATTCCTGCTCCTGTTGAGGATTTTCAGGTACAAGACTGCTTGTGGAAAAAAGTGTCGGTGAGACGTAGGTGAGATTCCTGGAAGCAGTGGGCCACAGTGGCAGTCTAATGAATCGCAGGTGGGAGATTTTTCCGTATGCACTGGGACTAAAAGAATCAAAGGAAGTATTAACATGGAAGGGAGACGTATATTATGCCTTTACAACCTTGCTCCCTAATCAGTAAGTAATCATTAAGATGAAATATAAAGAATTCATAATTGTAACGTCAGTATGGCTGTAATTATTCTTTAATCCCAGAAACTCACAGAATGAGTGTGTTCTTATAAAAGAATCGAAATGAAAGCTGAGAAGCAAAATGTGTTATTTTTTTCTCCACTTCCTGAACTAACTTTCCATGATGAAATATAATCCCGTCCCAACATTATATGGGAATCTTCTACTTGCGCTCATGCTCTCTTGCCAGAATGTGTCTCTCCATGAGTTTGTATTTTAGCATATCTAACTCCCACTTGATGCTGAAAAACTACCTTCTCTTTCTGCCTTCTAGCAGAAAAAGGAGAGGTAAGGTTGATTTAAGGAAAGTTGCAGTTGGGTGAGATTAGCTAGAACTACCAATTTCAATCTCTTCCTCACTGTAACATATTAGGAGCCAGGCCAGCGTTTCTCCTAAGTACGTGCAGTGTGTCAAATACACAGGCTTCTGGCGCACAATTGCAGTGTGGGTAGTGAAAACTCCTTAGGGATTGATGGTGTCCCGGTTTGACTATATACCTGCGTGCAAGGGTGAGCCCTGATTGTGAAGGAGCTGTTCGTTTGGGTTTTTAAACATTGTCTGTATTTTGAGTGCTGATATTGCAATAACAGTATATTTTTCATTTCCTTAATTCCTGCCTCTGTTCTACAAAAAAGAAATCTCTATTGGCACAAGCACTACACGTTTGCTTGAAAATGTTTGTGTACTTGTCATGCATACGTAAGCACCTAAAATTAATACTGGATCAACATTGAAATAAATCTAGCTGAATTTATTTCAATGTGTGGAGCTGCTTGGCATGCCTTTGGAGTTCTCCATCCAGTAATTTTTAACATCCTAGAAAATCATAATCACTGCATGCATGCACAGTATGCAGTCCTCAGGCTGCTGCTTTAGATAAGCCTGAGTTTATAAAAGGTATGAAAGATGCATACATATTGAGGGCTCAAGATGAGATCGGTGTATCATAGTTACATATATTAATCTCATATATAACATTATCATAGATATTTTTGACTGAATCCTATGGTCCTTTCTTTGCAGCTGTAAGAAATAGCTTTGAGTCTATATAAGCATAACCTGTGTTAATCTGTGCCTAGGTCAATAGAGAGTTTGAAATAACAGTTCCAACTAGAGAGAGAGACCATTCATTTTGGAGGGTGTTAATTCATATAGTTAGTAATAAGTTGAACAAGAACAATGATGAGAATTTGTTGCTTATCAGAGCTGAAGAGAGAGGAAAGCGATAATAAATTGTGCCGTAGATGATGATTTTCAGTTCATGTTTATTTTCTGAAATAGCTTGGATGTCTACTCTCTTTTTCTAATACAGATCTCTCTATTTCCTAATAGCTTCTTTACAGTTCAGTAAACTTCGTATTAGGCCAAACTTTAATTTTCAAATTTTAACTTCTCTGAAAAATTTGGCATAGAAATACCACTTTTCATCTTCTTCCAACACATACATGTACTTAAGTACAGCTGTATCTCATTCCTCCAGTTTGTATGCTTTGCTCAGAAGGAAAATACGAGAAAATTCAGCTCCAGCTCTAACATTCTCAGAAAGGTGTGAGCACTTTAAAGCTGGTTTTTAACGTGACTTCAGATTATCATTATTAAGTATTACTGAAATAGGTATAGACATCCATGAAGTAATAACTTGAAATATTTATTTTGGCAGTAACACATCAGATTTAGGGGAAGGAAAGGGGCTTAAATTTTGTGCTGGTTTTAAGTAAATTCACCATTGCAGTCCTGAAGATAAACCCTCTAGATAGAACAACAAGGTAAGTCTGTTTACTGTGGCAAGTAACTCTTGTTGGTATTCATTTAAGCTCTTTGTTGTTATTCCTGACTTAAAAAGTTGTGGGTACGCTTTTAAAGTGGTAGGTAGTAAAAAATAAATCCAGGGAATAAGGGATTCTATCAAAAAGAAACCAACAGAAAACTGAGAAACCTGTTTTTACTTTACTGTTCAAGTGCCTATCCCATAAAAAGACTGCAAGGGATAGCTCAAATTCTTGCAATTAGTTGATTTGTCTGTAAGAGATACTTAGTCTTGCCTACACCGGTGGTTTGATAGTATGTAGTGTTCCCATAACGTATCAGGAAATCTGAAGAGGAGCGTGAAGGTTCTTTATTTTGGTGGATGATGTGAAATGGGCTGAAGATACTTCTCTACAATTCCTAGGTGATCCATGTTGGAACTGCAGCTTTCATTACAGTTAACTATGATTTGTACTGATGCTAATATATTAGCAGTCTCAACGGAGACAAGGAATCACCGATTTAAATGGTCATAACAAATGTTCTGGTCTTTTCATAAACAAAAGTGGTTTTACTCTAATGTTAACTGTTGTGAGGCTGCAGGATGTTTTTCAGTAGCAGAGTCCTTAATTTGGTAATGCTCACAAATGTCACATTTGCTTGGGTAAAACTGGAAGAAGAGGGGGAGGTAAGCTTCCATTTAGTATTAAGTTTTGCATTTTGAAGATGAGAGACAAAACATCCTTCTAGGGAAAAAGGGTATATCTTTAAATTATCCAGTATGTGTAGTCATCTTTTCCGTATAGGGCGAGCTCTTCCCTGTCATTTAAAAGCTTTAGTCTTTAGGTATACACTATATTACGTATGCCATAATATTCATAATCATATGATAGTATTCCTTTTGATACTTGAGTAACTTACATTCACACAAGTTATGAAAAAAGTAATAGTTTGCCACTTCAATAGACGATTCTAATTTTCCAGAAAACTTACTTGTTCTCTTTGGAGTTGTGCATTTTTCTGAAGATGTAAATTCCATGAAGGGTACTACTGTTAAGCTAATTTGTATTCCAGGTAACCATTTCCTGAACAAGCTAGCTGGAATAATATTGGTTGAATTATTGAATTTATTGGCACAGCCCTAGCTTTAACTGTATTTCCAAACGTTCCATGGTCTCACTGTTTGTTCTCATGCATGTTAACATTTAAAACTGTGTTCTGATGGTCTAACTCATTTATATTACATTCTGTACTGGATATTATGTGCGTGTGTTTTTAACACTCTAGTACTGGAAAAAATATTTTTGTTGTACTTAAGAAAACAAGGCTCTGGACTTTCCTGGCTTTTAAAGTCACGTAATTAGGATGTAGTGGTAAATAAATATTGTCTCTGTATGTAAATTCTAGTGCATGTTACATATACTTTTTTCCTACAGACATTGACGATGCTCAAATTCTTCCACGTCCACCTCGAGTCAGACATTTTTCACAGAGTGAGGATGCTCCAAGTGAAGTTTTTGGTGCATTAAATGAGGAACAGCCACTGCCACGAAGCAGCAGCACCTCTGACATCCTGGAACCATTCGCAGTTGAACGAGCCAAAGGTGCAGTTCCTGTCATTGACAGTTCATCCCATCATGCTCCAAGCTTACAGAGTTCCACTGAGACCTCTTCAATGCATAGATCCACTGAAAGCCATATCACTGATACAAATAGCAGAGAGTCCTCCTTGGAAGTTGGGGATAGTATTTATGACCATCTTTGTCATTTAATAGGGCCGGTAGAATTTGCAAACACAGCCTTTGAACAAAGCCAGTATGTTGACCTTGAAGGTGAAGATGATCTCCTTTCCTCTCTGAGAGAATATCTTAAAGAAAAAGAAGAACTTTGCGGTAACTTTGAGATAGATAAATGTGAGGCTTCTGCTCACGAAGTTGATACATCACTAAATAGGAATGATAGATTACCACTGGACGGATTAGAAAATAGAGATCAGACCGGTCAATGCACGAATAGCATCACTGTTACAGAAAGAGCCGATAACACAGAGCTGCACCTAGAACAAAACCAAAGTGGCTTTATAAGTAATATTGCACCCACTCAAGTAGACATTTTTACAAGAAATCAAGCGCTTGATAAAGCCAGACAGTTAAATACTGACAAACAATATGAAAGTGTGTTCAATCATGGGTCAAGTAGTCCTAGCAGCAAAGAAGGGAAGAGATACCTGTACAGGCAAGCAGCCACTGAAGCTGATGTAGATTCAGCTGTGGAAGCAGCGGTAGCTGAAAAGCATAAAAGTGCCCAGTTTAATGAAAAAGTAACCAACTCACGTGTTACGCATGCAAAGAAAATTCTTCCTAAAGCACAAGTTAACCCTCAAATGCCTCACAGCACAGGCACAAGCAAACTGTCACCAACTAAAAGGAGTATATCTGAAACTGTAACTCATAGGGCCAAAATCATGAAAATAACGACTAAAAAAAGAAATAGTGTTCACGTTACTTTTAGGCCATCTACAGAATCGGTTCAATTTTACAATCCTCTTGAGAGCAAAGAGGCTGCTTGGAAAGCAAGACTTCGTAAACTCAGTGGCTTCAGTAGTAGCGGTAGTGGTAGCAGCAACAGCGGTACCAGTGCAAGCACTAGCTCATCAGCTGTCACGGAGCTGGTTAGACCTGGAATATATAGACCTCTAGATGCGATCAATGCTGCTTCAGCTGGCAGCAAGCAAATTAAGGAATCTACAGAAACTCAAGCAGCCATGTTGCAAAAAGAAGGTATTGCAGTTAATCAGTTCCATAATCGTAGTGCCTTTAGAGCTTCAGGTCAGGAGTCAGCGCAACAGCAGGGCTCCCTGGGTGGTGTTTATAAAACTGTTGTACATGCTCTTTCGAAGCCGAAGGCAAATGTTTCCCCACAGAGGCAGAACAGAATGCCAGCAGAGGCTCCACTGAGGGATCTGTACAGTCATGTAATGGGCTATTTTGGAAGGAAAGCTGCAGGTGAGCACTAACAGTGTGCAGAGCGCAAAAGGAGAAGGGCAGCACCAGTTTGGCTTAATGCAACTGAAGCAAGCTCTGATAAGCAATCAAAAGGCTTTGGGATGATCACTGCTTTCCCTGTTTGGTTATGCATGCGCCTACAGCCAGCTGATTTTTCTCCCAGCATAAGTTACTTTTACATACTTTAAATTACTAATTTCCCTTTTCAAGATATTTAGTTGAACCTCTTTGCTGCTGAAGACCATTAGGTTAGGGAAGAGGAAGAGACAGTAAATGACCTAATAAAGGATTAAGCCTTGAGAATTTTGAATTTTCATCTACCATGCAGAGCCTTAAAATTCAGCCTACTGAATGATTGGCATATGCATATTTTACCAGAATGTGCTATTCCACTCTGAGTGTAGTTTGTTTGTCAGACGGACCTGGCTCTTGACCAGCTAGGTTGAACTAATTGTATTTCTGGTTCATTTAGTGTGTTTTCTTCTTCCTCCTCCTCCTCCTCCTCCTCTTCCTCCTCTTCCTTCTTTTTCTCCTCCAAAACAAAAAAAGCCCCTCAAATTTATATTTGGAGGTCAGTTTAGATAACTTTTAAAAAATAGTCTTAAACAGAAATCTCCTATTACTGGAATGATTTAATTACGACGGTTCTCTGTGAGTCTAATCATAAGGTTTTGTTTGAATCTTTTTCAAAACATGCTGTAGACGTTTCTGAATTCATTCATCAAAATGGATGCAGTTATATCTTGTCAACATCTTTTATTGCTTTCTTTTTTTCTTGGAATCGTGGATGTTCATGAAGGTCTCATGATAGTCCTTCTCCTGCTAACTGAGACCTCTGTGGACTGGTCAAAAAAGAAGGCTGTCGCTCTAATATCCATTGTCTTACTTCACATTTTAAATAACCTTAAATGAACAATAAATTAACTTTCAGCAGTAATGTAGGTTTTCTTTTTTCCCATTGTTATGCTGGCATGATTAACAGAGGATTCTGTAATGCATCCTGCATCGAGATGTTAATGCCACCTGAGGGCAGTCTTTGTAAGCATAGCACTGCAAGAGCGTGACTGTCATGGGTCTCAAAAAAGCGATTTGCTTCTCTGCAGAATCTAGACTTCTGAAAAAGTGATATCTAGAAAGCACTAATTTTAGAAATACATTTTATTTAAAATCTGTAACATCTAACAGAGCCTCACTATTAGAATAAACTACACTGTGGTCTCATGAAAGATGACACTGAGGGAAAAATTCTTACAGAGAAAACATGAACTGGAATAACTTGAAGACTTTAAAGGCGAAGATCATGAAGTCAGGTGTAACAGCCACAGTTAAATATGAACAGTATAGTTACATCAAAAATATAACACTGATAAATGAGTGAACTTAATTAATTGTTCATAACCATTGACCACCCAGAGTTTGAATTTTCATTCCATGTACTAGCATGTAGTTTTATTACATAAGACTTCCTTTGCACTATTTATACTAACTGTATACGGTGCTGCATTGACATATGTCATTACTACATATTACAACCTAGTTTACTTTTTCCACAACGTGGCTCTTCATTAGGAATGCAATGAAGAAGGAGCCTGTAGGAATCATATAAAATTTTTAGGATTTATTACTTACTTTTTGTGATACGGAGGAAGAATATATGCTGTATCCTTAAAGCAAGCATTAACAACTTTGAGTAGTGCTTACCTATAAGCTTCTTGCTCTTAAAGGTGGTACTGGAAATCAACTAACCCCTGCTTAGTGGGAAGAAGAAGCCGTACTAATTCTTAAAATAGAATCTGCTTTAAAAGAGGGAAATTCTTAAAATGCATGTTTGGCAATTTTGATTGTTTGTTTGTTTGTTTGTTTCTGTTAATTAGCAGGGTTTTTTCTGTTTTTACCTTTGTTTTGAAAATGTCTTGATGTGTTCTTTACTATATACAGTTGTTCATTTGCTTTTAGCTAATAGAGAGGACATGAGTCAAAAGCTGCACCCTATTGATAGTGATATTGGCAGTAGCAATACAAATGTTCCTGACCTCATGGATGAATTTATAGCTGAGAGACTCCGCAGTGGTAGTGCACTGGTAAGCCTTTAAACTTCCTACATTTCAATATGTAAGTCTGCATATATGTGTGAACTCGTCAATGATGTTATAAATCAGTTCACTGAAACATATTTCTCTGGATTTTATGAATCAGAAAGAATTAAGAGTATCACTTAATTATCCCTTGCCTTTGACATAGATTCATGCCATTTTATGCCATTTGTGTTTTCATCTCTCTTAAATCTTCATTGTGGAAGCAATGCGGAAGTTACTGTCAGATGAATAGTTTTCATTGAATTAAACGGCCTTAATTGCACCTGTAAAGATCTTTGTACACAGACACTTTCAGAATAATAGTTTATATGTAAATTTGCAGTCCTCAGTGTGGTATGTAGTTAGGTATCATGCTGTAGTATGGTACTATTCTCTCCAGGTATCGTGAGCGCAACAGACTACGAAACTACACCAGTATATGTTTTTCCTTCATTTTTTTGTTTCACTTACAAGTGTTGAATAATTTCTTGTAAATAGTTCTCTGCTAATTGAACCAACTTTTCATATGCTTTCTTTGTACACTTTTCCAGAAGTGTCATGTTGTTTGGAATGTCATTCATAATGAGAAATTGTAATCAATTTTAAGTCAAGAATTTCTGGTTACTGTTGAATGCTTACAGAACGAGACAACTGATTTGAAGAGATAAGTGTTTTATTAACTAGCAATAAAAGGGGAAATATTAAAATTTAAAAGTTGCAAATGAAGAACAGAACGGGTGACAATTTAAATGTAGCATTTCAAAGTTGTTCAGTTCTTTTTGGTGCTTAGAATTTTTTAAGATTTTTCTTTTAAGGTCGTTTTAAGACACACTCCTGTAGAAAGTTGTCAACAAGTAGTTTAGTTGTTGCTAATAAGGGGCAGAACAACCTTCAGTGAAGTGATTAGAAAAATTTGTTTATTTATCATCATCTTTTATAAATGGCAAGAGAGGACTTGCAGAGTTTGTCCAAATGTGTGCTTTTTTTCTTTTGTATTGAACTCATGTTTATGAAATTTGATTGTTGGTGCAAAGTGTTCTTGTTAGTAAGTCTTGAGTTACAAGACGAAAATGCTAACTTGAAATCTATTTTAAAAAAAAAATTAACTTAGTCTGCAAATTAATAAAACAGAATTCATCATAGCTGGCCACAGAAGAAGAGAAAAAGAGAGTGAATACTATTTGTTTTCACATAGGTGGGCAAGAATATTGATTATTAATAGTTCAGACAAGAGAGTTGATACTTTCCTTAGGTAGCAAAAAACAGCCAAGGTAAGTTTGAATAAATATTTTGAAACTGCCACTGATTTTGTAATCTAGCACATAAAAATAGATATGCCTTCTTAAAACAGAGTACCAACTTACTAAGATTAGTTTTAGGTTGTATCTATTGAATGCTAAAACCTTGTATCGTGAAAAGCTTGTCAGTCTGAGTAAATCTCTGATTAATAGTATGGTCGTAAAAGAATAGAGAAGTGACTGGGCCTAGTGTATAAGGAAGTCATCTTCAGTCTCATAATGCATAAAGATTTCAAGCCATTTCATAAAATGGCTTTTCTACTTTATCTCTCTTCCCTCTCAAGCAAACAGTACTATCTGTGAAAAAAACGGCTTAAAGAAAGACTCCAAGTAGAAGACCACCTTACTTTTACATGAGCAAATCTATATGCCTTATTTCTGCTATATGCTGTCTTTGGTGTCCAAGTCAATACCAAGGTTTTGGCTTAATCATAAGAAAATTAATGCATGAATTAGTAAATTCAGTTGGTTGTGGTGTACATGAAATTTTTGCTGATAGCATGGTAGCCTATAGGCCAGAAAACACAAAATTCCTTGACATTTTTTTCTGCTTGTCTCTGGAACCAAGGTTAACAAATTTTCTTTAGTATTTTAGACATAATCTGGAGATAATATACTTTTTTACTATTTTTCTCTCTCAAGTCTTACCTAATAATGTGTGTGGCACATGCTAGTCTGAACCGTAGCCTTTTAAGGTATGTGCCCAAAAATTCATCTTGCAAATAAAATTTGTATTTATGAAATTCTGTGACTGCATGGGTTCTTCACTTACTGCTGCCTGTCTGGGGTTTTGGAAAGTCTTGGCTACATATGTAGTGTGATGACAATTTCTGGTTTAGGTACTTGGGAACTATTTGTTACGTTCTGACATTTGCAAATGTGGGATTGCTCTTTCCATTTTATGTAAATAAGCCATCCAAGATTGTAAGATAATTTATGTCTCTTCAATGTTTAGAATGTGACAAGAAGAGGAAGCAGTCCTGGCAGCCTGGAAGTTCCTAAAGACCTTCCTGATATATTGAACAAACAGAACCAAATGCGTCCTATCGACGACCCAGGCGTGCCTTCCGAATGGACATCACCTGCCAGTGCGGGCAGCAGTGACCTCATCAGTTCAGATAGCCACTCTGACTCTTTCAGCGCCTTCCAGTATGATGGCCGCAAATTTGAAAGCAAGTGTATTTTTCCGAAAGTAGTAGTGTTTTTGATTGCTTGCTTGCAAATTTCTCTTTTCTTTCTTTTAAAGTTATATGCCAGTAGTCTTCTATACAGAGAGCTTATTTTGATTTCCCGTTGAAATCATTAGCGAGTTAATGGAGCAAGCAGAGTTCTTGAGAGAGGCTATCATGTTTATAGTATACTAAACAAAACAGCACTGGAATACTACTGCGCAAAAAGCAGAACAACAATGAACAGACGTTAGAAAGCAATATTGTCTTCTCCCTGGAGCGTATCCGTCTGTTTTGCACAAAATATAAAGATGAAAGGTTACTTATTTTGGAAGTTATTTTAATTCTTTTGAAAACAGTTAGGTAAAATTTAAAGAAGGGCTTCTGACATTGTTACAGCGGTCTTTGTGTAGCTATAGATTAATCAAGATACTAAGTGTAATATTATGGTAACGTTAGTGTGCTTTGTTTGATATCCTAATGCTTTTCATTTGTTTCATTTATCCATTCCCACTCTTGTTCAACAGAAGGGGTCATTATGGTTGCTAGGAATTATGACTTCATGTATTATGTAAGAGAGAAATAATGTTTCTATGGTAGAAATTATTGAAGAAATTACAATTTTTAGATATGTAGATGTTATGCAACTAAGCGATGTTATTTAAACCTACATTTCAGCATGACATTTTGTCTTTAGTGTTGAAAAAGCCATTTCTTAGAATATCATTTGCCGTAATATTTTTAGTTTGAAGTTAGTGCTTTAACAGTCAACTTGGATATTTCTTCCAGCTTGTAAATTTTGCAAATAAATTCCTTAATGTATGTTTCCATTATTTTTACTTTATTCTCATGTAGATGAACTTACAGCAACTAAGCAGAATACAGGACATGCAACAGGAATGTCTTCTCCAGAAGTACAGTCACAGTTTTGTGACAGAAATGAGACTATTCATAATAGTCAAATACTTTTTGCTGTTACATTTTACGTAAATTTTGCAACAGTGTGTTAGTAGCATAGGAGATGCACATACAAATTTTACATGGAGGATTTTGGAGGTGCTGGGCTTTTGGTTTTTATATTAGTGATATTTTTAGGTCGTAAGTTAATACAGTACTTTCCTCATACAGATTTCAGCTTTGGCACTGAAGCAGGGACACCAGCTTCCACTGACGTTGATGCAATTTCAGGACAGCAACAAAGTGCCGAGGAGCAAGAAGTGGCCAGTCTAACTACACTCCACATAGATTCGGAAACAAGTAGTCTCAATCAGCAACCATTGTCTGCTGAAGCTGCAACTATTACTGGTAAAGTAGTTAAAAAAAAAAAAAAACCTAAAAAAAAAAAAGTAGTCTCAATCAGCAACCATTGTCTGCTGAAGCTGCAACTATTACTGGTAAAGTAGTTAAAAAAAAAAAAAAACCCTAAAAAAGGCGCATTTATTTCAGAAATTTTCCACCCATCCTGAAGAATGCAAGTTCCAGCTTCTGCAATGAATCTTTATTCTATATAAGATGATTCTTGGATTTCAATTATTTTTTGATTGCTATTGAAAAGTAATGTATGAAATAACATAAGTGGAAAACCTTTGTCTGACTTAGTTACCCATATGATCCTTGGCTTGGTGCTAAATGTATTTTAAACCCTTCATGAGAAAATCTATACAATTACCAGGGAGAAAACTCTTATCACATAATGTATGCTAGATCTCTTACAAGTGTCCTTTTATTACTGGTAGTCAAATAGCTAATTTTCAGGAAGGGTTTTTTCCTTGGAAGGCTTTGACAGCGCTCTTTCAAACCAGTGTATCACACTGAAGTATCATGGGATTCTTTTATGTACATCCATCTTAACCTCTCTCTGTATTGTCTGTTGTGTAACTGGGAGCTTTTAATATGCAAAATGTTAGTTATTGTGTCCTGTAAGATCAGTTTCCACTTGTGTAACTTAAGAATTCTTTTTCTTTTAGTACTTTCCCTGTTGTTTTCATGAACAAGTAAGCCTGTTAGGAAGCAGTGTTTCACAGCCTCAGTTGATGAGCTTGAGGCTCCACCAGTTTACATTGCAACTGTTTCTTGAGAAAGAGAGGTAGAATGGCAATTAGGTTAGCAACCACCAAGTGATGCATTTAACCCAAATTGAATGGGCTCCTTTCTGAAAGAGAGAATCTCCCTCTCTGAGGAGCATTTGGAAGAACAGTCTCTTGCCAGATTTTGTAAATGAGAAGTAAAGATGTCCATAGTCATTTTCATACTCCGTGTTCCGTAACTGTAACGCACTACCATTCCTCTTACAACCCTGGGAACAAGTACCTATTTATCTGTGAAAGCTTATAGCTACATACAGTGTCTTGTTCTCTGTGAGAAATCAAACTCTGCATTTTCAGAGATATTGAAAGACATCTTTACTTCCACCGCCACAATTTTCACTTTCGAAAATTGCCTTCCTGCTGAAAGAAGCATGGTATTAGCTTTCTTGGACATTGTTGTTCAGCTTGTTCAACAATGTTCAGCTTGACTTTCGTTCTCTTCATTTTTCTCTTTGCTGTGTGCTTGTTGAAAGTCCTTGCAGAAAATCTGTTCTTTTTCTGTTTGTTTGTTTTTATATGTTAATAATTTCATTGCTGTTCAGTATTTTTGTCCAAGTTTGCAGTATAATTGAATTGATAAGATTGCAGTTAATGACTGAGTTGTCCACTGAGAAATTCTGTGGCTGTCTCTTCTTGTTGTTTGGACCACTGTTTTAGAGAGGCAGCTTTTGTGTGTCACATGCATTTAGCTGGGTTTCCTGAGGAAGCAAGACTTGTGCAATTACACTGTCTGTCTCTGTCTGACTGTTCCATGCCCCCAACAATGTTGGAGCTCATTGTCTAATTTCTGCTAAATTGACGTAGAAGAAGAAAACAGAAACACATTATTTTCTTTGAAATTTTAAGAAAGATAGGCAGCTATTTAGTGAAAATTGCATGTATGCAGAGTCCCATAACAGGGAGGCTGCAATGTGAATTCACTATATTAGATCCCAGCGAATCCATGCAGAAACTCACTTTGGTGGTTCTGCTGCTCAGAAATCAACTTGTTTCTAAATAGTTCTGCTTTGAAGGTTTTTGGAAGGAAGATTTCTTCTTGGCATATAGGCATTATTTCATATTCTTAGCAAATGATTGAGTTTATTATTGATTGCTGTTTACGAGTCCTAGAACAAGTTGCACCCATAGTATTCTCTGTCAAATTTGGATCCACATATACTGGAGTATTTTAGTGCTTCTTAGAAGAATCCAGTTGTTCAGCAAATTTGCCATAATTATTTCTGGCCATTCTCTTCCATCATATGAAGGTCTCCTTCCCTCCCTCCCCTGCCCGCTCTTTCTCTCCCTCTCCTTCCCTCTCTGTCCCTGTCTATCCCCCTCCCCCTCGCTCCACCCCCACCCCCCGAATCACTCTTTCTCGCTCTTTCTCTTGATCTACTTTCATCCATCCCCACTTAATGAGCAGAGTGGAAGAGAAGTAGGAAAAGATTTCTCTGAGCATCTTTTAAGTGTGTATTTTACATTATCTTTGTGTGCATGTGGAAAACGAGCGATCAGTAGTGAGAGGAGAGTACCATTACCTGTTGAATGAAACAGTAGTCTGTGTTTGAAGCAGTAGCGTCCATCTCTCCTGCATAGAGGTGTTGATTTAAATTGATGATAAAAGCTTCATTGCCTTTGCCATTTAAAACAGATAGAGACCTTTGCAGTTTAACAATGTAATTAAGTTTGTTTACCACAATTTCTGTTCTGATATTTGACACTGACATTTTCTGTCAAGTTCTTTAAACCATTTGTGCTCTTTGCAAGAAAAAACACTTTGCAGCCAATAATTGGGGAAAATTACTGTTTTAAAAGGCTCGCTTTTTCATTGCTGTCCCTAAAGTTCAGTTTATCTCTAATACTGAACTTCACACATAATATTTTTGGGTCCCAGTTACATTTATCTAAGTGTTAAAATAGGTTTGAATTCTTCCATTTTAACATGTGCTGATGTGCAGGGAAGTATGTGGTGAATATCTGTTCTCTTTTTTCCTGCCGTCTGACTGTTCTGGCCGAACTCAGCTTTTTATAAGGATCTTTAGGCAAATTCCGGAAGTGAAACTAAGGTAGTGCAGAAGAAAAATACAAATACCTACTTCCTCTCCACAGACCTCTCAGCAGAGGAGCCCAAATAGTTGCCTAGAGAGGTTGCTCAGTGGTATGTATGTGGTGAATATCTGTTCTCTTTTTTCCTGCCGTCTGACTGTTCTGGCCGAACTCAGCTTTTTATAAGGATCTTTAGGCAAATTCCGGAAGTGAAACTAAGGTAGTGCAGAAGAAAAATACAAATACCTACTTCCTCTCCACAGACCTCTCAGCAGAGGAGCCCAAATAGTTGCCTAGAGAGGTTGCTCAGTGGTGATCGTGGAAAAATGCCTTTGCAGCACTGCCATTCAAACACTTGTATTTTCCTGTCTTAGAGGAAATAACATTCCTCTGAGTATACAGAACTCTCCCTCCATATGGATTTTCTCAGCCCAATCAGCAGATAAACATCAAAGATTGTCAGTTACTGGTTTAAGCTTTTATATTTTCTAAGTTAACTTGCATACATCCATAAACCTGGAAGAGCAGATGTTTCAGGAAAATTTCTGCTTAAACACTTTGCCGGAGAGAAATTTAGGTGAGGGAATGTGGAGAGAAATTTGACTGGTTCAGAACACTGAAAGCGCTGCAGAAAAAACACATTTAAAATTATTTGGGCCTAAAATAGAGCTCTGTTAATCCATTTACCTATCTGATTTTGATGTTCATCTTTCAGCTTTCCTGCATGTAATTTGTTTTCTTTCAGAGCACCATTCACAGGGAGATCTGCTTACAGTTTTTATATCTTTTCTTGGCCCGGTTTGATATATAAAACTGATAGCTCAGTTTTCTTTTAATGCTATGTTTAGACAACATTTCAGTAGCTCAAGAAAATAGAAAAGGCTTTTAAGGTAACTGTTAAAAATTGCATTTGCAGGCTCTGAAAGTGCTTCTCCAATCCAATCTGCTCTTGGATCCCGATCACAGACACCCTCTCCTGCCACTCTTCATGCAGATCATATTGAGCAGAAGGATCTGCAGCTGGATGAGAAGCTCCACCACTCTGTTTTACAGACGCCAGATGACCTAGGCAATATCTGGAATAGAAAATACAAACCTGTTCTTTCTTTCTTTTGAATGCAATATAGTGAAGTAGCTAGTATCACATTAGTTGTAAACAATCCTGTACAAGGCTATTTCGTCTGCACTTTTAAAAATATTTAATTACAGTGATTTCCTTTAAAAGCAAACAAAACCCTTTTGCATTTTATCTTGCGTTTCATTGGAATTATTGGCAGTGGATTAATAGTCCACACATTTATAATTGTTCTTCTTGATGCTTAGAGTCGTGGCAGTTTAATCTAGTATGTGGCCCTGCCATGGACTTTTTTATCATTGAAGTACAAATAATAAGACATAATTTTAAAGTAATGTTATAATTTCTCCTTGGAAGTTTGGTTCTTTTCCCTTTCATATTTAAACAAGTTTATGATTACTTCAACTATCTTGGCTATTGAATTCTAGGATACATTCACTTTGTAAATACGAAGTTTCCATTTCTCCCATATTTGGTCTCATGGAAACAGAAGAGTGTCTGATGTATATTTCAGACCCTTTTCCTTTAAGTAGCCTACTGATGGACAGAAATATCATCATTTTGCTTTGTACTTTGAAATCTGCAGCTTAGAAACCATTAGTGTCTCTACCACAGTGGTCCAGATCTTCAAAAGAAGAGGCTATGTGATTAGGCTGAATTCAGATTTAATTTTGATTTTGTATGTCTGTGGGAGCTGCGAGATTTTCAGAAGATCTCAGCAAATTCTGGTGCGGAGGTGTTTTGAAAATCCGTCTGAGAGGGGCGGAAAGGAGATTCTGCATGCCCACTGCTTTAAAACTGTGGCTCGTTAGCTAGTTTAGTGTGGCTGTTCAGCTAGTTAAGTGTGAGCTGAGTAGACTTTAGCCATCGGAATCTATCAAAGTTTTCTTTGTATGGACAAACTAGATTAATCATCTTCTGCCTAAAAAAGATTGTTCATCCATATAACACTGATGTGTAGAGAGAGCTAGGTGAGAGTTAGGCTGTGGTGCTAGGTTACTGAATGTTGCCTCTCCACTCATACAAACTTACTGCTTAAAGAACAGCAGCCAGAGACAAGTTTACTCACCTTTCTCTTCAATTTGCAATAAAATACATTCCTAGTAGATTCAAAGGAAAATTGTCTTTCTATTTTATTGGGAAAAATGAAAAGTTGAAATGTAATTCTGCTTGGAAGCAGGCAAGTGGAGTTCTGCAGATTCATTGACTCCAAAGAATTTAAGACAGGACTTACAAAAGGGGCGGCCTTACTAGGTCCGTCAGATCCGTATTAGGGCTTCAGTAGTGACCTTAAATGTTATTTATGGAAAGAATATAAGAAACAGGACAATTCTTCCTCTACAGAGTTTGATAATAGACATATAGTTAAACATATCCAGCGTTGAGGTGGCTGAATGGGTAAGAAATACCTTACTCTGAAAGCCTGATCTTTTTTTTGCTTTGGTTTTAAGAAAACTATGTGTGTAATAGTTATATCAGAACTTTTCTTTTTCTGGAGAGGTAGATCTCGCTGTACTTTTTTCTTCCATTACAGAAGCTAGTGAATTCCCCTCAGAATGTTGCAGCGTGATGGCTGGGGGAGCGCTTACAGGATGGCACGCAGATGTTGCTACTGTGATGTGGAGGCGAATGCTAGGAATTTTGGGAGATGTCAACAGCATCATGGATCCAGAGATTCATGCCCAGGTTTTTGATTACCTGTGTGAACTGTGGCAGAATCTGGCCAAGGTAAAAGAACTGAACCTCTTCTCCAACCTGACCTGATCGGGCAGGATTTTCAGAAGGAAAAAAACACCACCTTATATACTTCCCTTAAATATTTATCTTTTTGTTTTGTTTTCAATAATTGCAGATAAGAGACAATCTTGGTATTTCAACAGATAACCTAACTTCACCATCTCCACCAGTTTTAATTCCACCACTGAGAATTCTAACACCGTGGCTGTTCAAGGTAAATTTGAGCACTAAGCAGTGAAGCAGAAATAAAAGTTTATGTAGGTGCAGAAGTGTTTAATGTAATTTTTTGATTTATGAATAATAAATATCGTTTTAAAACTGTAGGCAACAATGCTGACCGATAAATACAAACAAGGAAAGCTACATGCTTATAAACTGATTTGTAAGACAATGAAGCGAAGACAAGATGTTTCTCCAAACAGGGATTTTTTAACTCATTTCTACAATATAATGCACTGTGGACTTCTTCATGTTGATCAAGTAAGTTTAATTACAAAATTCAGGTTAATATCAATACTATAACTAAAAATAAAATTGTTTTATCAAAAATACTGAATGGATTTTCAGCTGAGTAATTTAACTTTGTCTTTGAAAATAGTTATGTGACTGATACTTTTTCTAAACTTCGTTAAATGGCCCTCATGTTCTTGGTTGTAATCAGAAATGCTTTTTTGTAGTCCATTCCAAGCAAATACGAGGGCGGAAAAGGTACTCTTTCATTTTTTGCTGATTGTATGTTACAGATTGAAGCATGCAAGAAAGAGAAGGAAGCAGATCTCTCTAAGGTCTACTGTTCTTCTTACTTGCTCCCTGATGCAACAGTTTAGCTAGTGGAAAAGTAAATTGTGCTCGCTACGTTGGAGTAGTTTACTTCTACAGCAAGTATAGGAACCAGCAAACTGAGACATACTGAGTGTATCTAATCAGTGGGAGTAGATCTTTTTCATAGGTTTTAATATGAACAAGTCTGAAAATACTGTATGGCTTAAACAGGCTTTTTAAAGGCTTGCATCAGAAGTGTGAAAAAGTTAGTTTTGTGAACTTTTTTGAGGAGCAGTTAGAGGCATAGGGAGATCAAAGGTTCAAACAACCCTGTTTTCATTAACTGGGCAAAATAGAACTAGTCCAAAATTATTCCACAGATGGCTATGGATAGGACAGATCTCCAGTTTCTGTCCTCTAACGACCAGTTTACACTGCTTTTCTTGCTGATTGCAAATCTTCCTATAACATATTGCCATTTAGTTGGATATCACTGTTATTGGAGAACTATTCAAAGGAGGAAGAGGGTTATGTTTTTTGCCTATCTGTGAACTTGGGATGGTTTTTAATAATTAAAACATTTTATACTTTTTCCAGTACTTTTGAAGAAATTGCATCGTGTACATTAATTTTAAAAACTGCCTCACTAAGTCTACAAGAACGTAATATGCTGTGTTGAATAACCACATACCAGAAATGTTACAAAACACTATTATAATTCTTTCTTTATATTTTGGTTCCATATGGATATATGTAAGAGGCTAATACCTTTTTTAAAGTTATAGTCAGGTGATACTTGTTGGAGAGGATTAAGGATGATGTTAAGAAAGGTCTAATAGCTGGTTATCTCACTATATCTCTTCTGTACATATTTTAATGAATGGTTAATCATTTATAGAACTCTTAAAAGCTAAATGTAAATGAATATAAGATATGACCGGGTACCAACCTCGTACAATAGTGTCCAAGGTTAAATTGATATATAAAGTATACCGCAGTTTACTTATATTAATATGAGTATACTTAAGGAATTTATCTTTTTACGCTACTCTTCACTCAGTAATGAATGTCTTAATTGCCACAATGAATTTGCTTTCTTGCATTTTTACCTTCTACCTTTGGTAAATAGCTGCCTTTTGTTCATTCATTGTTCATCTTGTTGATACTCTTCTTTTTCTTTTTTTCCCTTTTCCTTCTGCAAGGATATTGTCAATACAATCATCAAGCACTGCTCTCCTCAGTTCTTTTCTCTTGGTTTGCCTGGTGCCACCATGCTTATTATGGATTTCATTGTAGCAGCAGGAAGAGTGGCTGCTTCTTCTTTCCTCAATGTAAGTATTCCTCAGTTAATTCTCATTTATGTGCAAGTGGAAAGGATTTGAGAGAAAACTGGGCAGTATTTTTCCTTGACTAGCTTGTTAACTTGACCCCAGAATTCAATGTAATGGTTAGCAAATATAGATACTGTCAGTGGTTTATTCTAGAACACTACACATGCAAGTCCTCTCCAGAAAATATGTGAAGAATGCAAAAATTACTGTTGAAGCAGAGAATCTTCTTTTACTTCAGAGTTCTCGGAATTGTGACTGCCATTTATTTGTGCTTTAAAATGTTTTAAAATAACTGTCCATTTTGACTGTACCTTCATTTAAAAAGTATATTTATTCCTCCACGTCTCTGCTATGCAATGACTTTGATGATCAAGCTTCAGAACTCAAATCTGCTAGCGTTTGCACTATTTGGATGTATTTCTGATATTGTTACCCAGGCAACTTCAGCCTTATATAGTAATACTGATATGATTACCTAGGTGCTCTTGGCCTTGCATGACTGTACTCCCTCAAAGCTCCCCAATACTCCTCTCCAACTGTCTGTGAGTTTTGACTGTTTCTCACGTCATTCCCCCTTTAACCAACTGTGAAATCCAGCCTCCCTCAAGGTACTATCTGAAGCCTCTGTCAGCTTCTTACACTGTTACCTGTCATGTCCAGCAACGCTTCATGTCATGTCCAGTAGTTTTCCACATCCTGTTCAACTAGCTGAACCTAAGACCCGAGCCTAGTTAGCAGCACAGTCATTTGTCTGTAGTCCTAACAATTCCTCTGCTTCCTTTTGACCATCTTGGAAAATGGGAACATGGGGTATGCATGAATAGCAATCCATGGGGCTGTGGTCTCGGTTTGCTCAGCTCTGCAGAATTTGCAGAAGGAGAAAGGAAATAGCTGTGTAGAGTTTCAGCCATTGTTCTCTTTTAAGGCAGCTAGAAATGTTAGCTTCCTGATTGCAGTAAGAATATATATTTCTCCCCACCTTTTTAGGCACCAAGAGTTGAAGCACAAGTTCTTTTAGGATCTCTAGTCTGTTTTCCCAATTTATATCATGAACTACCAGCTCTTCACCCAAACATTCCTGACATTGCTGTATCTCAGTTTACGGATGTTAAGGTAGGAATTTTAAGAATATTTGGATGGTATTCAGCTACCAAGTATATGTTTAATATGAGGTTGTTCCAGGAAATATTAACTAAAAATTTAAGAGTCTAAAATTTTTCAGAAATCATTTCAAATGGATTATAAGGCTCAAGATCCCATAAAATCTTGTCAAACTTTATACTACTAAACATACTTTATAATTGCTATTAACTTAATAAAGTGTTTTCATATGTTTGTAAAAGAAAATGATGTGGTAGCTCACCTTTTCAAGCCTACTCTCATTATGGCTATTTGCAGTCTCACAGATTGAATCAGCTGAGAAGGAGAAGATTAGGAGGTTCAAGATACATTATTTAATTTATTGAGAATTCACAACTGGTGAAATCTGCCCGTGTTCCTAAGGGCTTTAGAAAACCTGTGTACATCAGTATGTTCTTTTAGACAAAAAGCAAAGATTAACAGAGACCTTACCCTCCCTATCATAACACAGAGTTGGGTAGTGTGCCAGTACACTGAAACCAGGCAGAGCTCAGTTCGTGTGTTTAATTGCTGTATGTGTGTCAGGTATGATTGCTATGTCTAAGAAAGGCTCCCCATAAGTTTCCAAACTGTTTCAATTTAGAGAGAGACAATGGCTTGGAAGCTGCTTTACACCTTGCTCCCTTTTGGGGACTGATTTTTAATTCCTTCTTTCTCATTTTTATTGCATAATGGCTATTTACTTGAGCTTTATTGAGAGCAACCTACAGCTTTACGGACATTTCACTGCAGTTGAGTCAGAATTCTTCTTGACATCATTCTTAAGGCACTGTAGTCACTTGTTCTGCAACTACTTCCAAAGACTTTTTAAATCAATATAATTTTGGAGGGGAAAAATTTGCTTGTTTAAACCTCAAAGTGATAGATACTTTCTGTAATACCCTTCAGGGCTATTGAAGGAAGCTCTTTAGGGATACTTTTTGGAGGGTTTTTTTTTTTTTTTTTTTTTTACCCTTGCTATTTTATGGAAATGTATTGGCAAGAATTGGATAAATGGGTAATCAGCAGAAATTAGGACAGTAACCTGTGGGATATTCTTGAGGTAGCACAATAATGAGCATCTAGGGCAGGCTAGAAGCTTGGAGTAGTGGTAAGCAAACAATCTATCTGACCACAAACCTAGAGACTCAGCTAAGCAACATGCCTATGTATGCTATAATAAAATTGTAATTTTCTGATACTTCATGTTATGGAGATATTAGTAAATCAGTGAATATTTTCCTCTTTGTTTTAGGAACTCATAATTAAAACTGTGTTAAGTTCAGCAAGAGAGGAGCCATCTGGTCCTGCACGGTAGGTCATACAAAAAGAGCTTCTAAATTAATAGATTCTTTTCTTTATTATAGTGTTTTGAGTTGGATATATTGAAAAGCTTAAAGTAAAAGCTTGTATGTATTTTGTTCATGGTTTTCTGTACCACTATCAAAACTGTGGTCTACCGTGTGAATGTGAAATTGTTGGTAAATAGAGATAATAACAGAACAGACTTTTTTTGTCAGACCAAATGCTGGTCTAGCCCAGTATCCTTTCTCTGATAGTGGCTGATAGAAAAGGGTGTTAATATGGGTAAGGATATAAGCTCTATGCCCTCCTAGCCTACCCTGGTGTTCAGCTCAAGGATTTTCTGTACCTAGAGAGGCATTTTTGAGTTTGATGAAGGACAAGGTTACTTATGAGGGAGGTATGATTATTTTTTATTAGACCACATGATTTAATTTGAAAAACAGAAATAATCCAAGGTACGTGAGCCTTTCTTTACGGTATGGAAAAGAAGCAGAAGATCCTGAACTAAGCATTAAACTGGGAATGATTGCTCTGATGCTTAAACCTAAGCATCTTCATCAGATAGAGAACTTCAAAGGAGAAGATACTTACCAGTTTTCTGTTCTATTTCTTAATTTGCTTAGGATTTTGTTCCTCCTTACCCATCCCCTGAAGCTTTCAGTTATAGAGTCCTGTGTATGGGATTGGAACAGGAATCTGTAATGCCTACCAAGGAAGAGCACACTTGCGTACCTTGTCTGTTTGGGTGGAGTGTCTATATATGCTCAACTAATAAATTGTTACTTAACAAATGCAAGATACTAGAACCACATGCCTGAAAAATGTTACTGGAAAGATCAGTTCATTGAACCTTAAAATGTTTTGCTGGACAACAAGGAGCAGTTTTCATCATCCCATTTACCTGTTCTTCACCTGAGCTGGTAATCTCTCTCAACACAGGGGAAGGAAGGAATGTTCTGAGATAATTTTAATTTAATTTTTCATCTTCTTTTGCAAAACTGAGTTCTAAAAAGCGTAACACTCTCCACTTTGCTTTTGAAAAAGGTGATTTAAATCCATTTGGTTCAGAACATTATTACTGATCCTGTGGCGCTGAAGCACACAGCATTAATGTCTTCAGTTCTGGCAGTGTCTGGGAAGACGAAGGGAACATTCTGCATGTGCCCATATCCTGTCCGGCTGTGAGGGTGTGTATATAGGAGCAGAGGCACATGTGTATGCCCAGCCTTTCAGAGAGCTGAGTTATGCTACCCCCAAAATGCAAAGTTGGACTACTGTGTGTAATAACATTAAATGAAGATTAAAAAGGAATAGATTTCCAATGTCTCTTTGGGTTGCCTGTGCCCCTCTCCTTCTTCTGGGAGAGAGATGGGTATGTCTCTGCTGTGAGGATAATGATATTCCCACAGCTCCTGAAGCTTGACTGCCTTTTCTTCCTGCCCAGTGGCAGTTTATCCACTGTCTCTTTTGGGAATAACCTCTCTGATACCATCTGCTTCACAGCAGTACGGAGTTCACCTGGGTTACTATCAGAGGTCATATTTGGGATCTGCATTATGATTTTGCCATGTCAGCCCAGCCACTGGTAGAGTCTTAATCGTCTTTGCAGTTTCCTAGGAGAGAACTTAGATTTCTTGGAACTTAGGTACGTAGCTCTGTATATCTCTAGCAAGTCTGAGTGCTGTTATTGTTACCCAAGTTATACATCTCTATTCCTTATTGCTTCCACAGAGGGTCGATGTTTTGTGTTTCATTACATACTTGACCCAACCGAGCTTCAGGGAAGTCAGTTATCTGAAATATGTTCTACTCTCACATCTCCATCTATAAAGATTAATAACTGTATTAATCAAATTCCTCTCCTGCTGCTGACAGTCTGAAAAAGAAGTGATAGGTTGATGAACTCGGTGTTCATCTCTTCTTCTGCTTGTGCTGTTAAGGCTGTGATTCTTTAATAACAACATTGTAGCCACATAACTACAGTTTTTCAGAGACTACTCTGAATAATGATAGTGAAACTGGTGTTCTTGGTAGAAACCTCACAGACTCCTGGATATTTTGCACATCAGTATGTCATCAGACGTGGAATGGATCTCAGTAGCATAAAGAAAACCTTAAATAGTAACACGGACTTAGAGCTGTCTACTCTTCTATACACTAAAGGTTTATTTTCTGAGTCAGCTTACACAAACTGTCTACATTTATTGTTTATTCTATGTTCTTATTTTCTTTTGTTCAAAAAGGATTGAAACACATACTGTGGAAATAGCAGAAGAGTAGACTGGGAAGGGACCAGGAGTACTTCTGTAAGCTCTCCCTCCTCCGAGGCTGGAGTGTGTTTAAAACATTCCTGGCAGTAGCATGCCTAAATGGTCCTGAAAATTTTCTCAAAGAAGAAAGTTACAGAAATCCTAGACAGACTATTCCAATACTTACCTAATTTTTACACTTGGGTTGTTTGTATGACCAGTATATAGGAGAAATCTTTTCTACTGGAAATTAAACTCTTCAGTGACTTACTGCACGTCAGAAGATTTCTTATCATTTCCTTCCTTAATTGTGATCTAGACTCAGTACGCCCTTCAACTTTTCTTCCATATGTAATATTCCCCAAAGCTGTTTATTATTTTTGTCACTTTTTTCCTAGACTCCCTCAAGCTTGTCTTTATTCTTAAATTGTATTAATCAAAATGTAATGGAGGCAGTCTTGCAATTGAGATTTTAGTGACAGTGTACAAAACAAGGTGGTTTGACATCTTATTTACACTATCACTTAGCACTAATTCCAAGATGTATTTTTGCTACCTGTTAGCAGTTTCATGATTCTGTGTAGCCTTAAAATCCTTTTTCTACAGCACAGGCTTCATAGCCACTTCTGTTTCTATTCTAGCATATGATTTTTCCTTCCCAGATGTAGTGCTTTGCAGTTCCCATGACCAGCTTTCACCTTGTCGATTTTGGACTGCTCTCCAATTTTATCCGGAGGATTTTGAATTCTGAAGTTGTTTCCAAAATATTTGCAGCCTGTGTTCTTGAATATAATTACTAATGATCCAGAGATCGCTTAAGCTAGCTCCTTAACATTTCTGAACAAATTTCATCCATCTCTGCTGATTTGAGCACATCTATCTAAATACTTTTTACCTTTACGCTCCTTTTCCATTTCCTGATTTTAAATGAAGAAACAGCAAAAGTTGAAGTATTTAATCACAATATGTATACTATCTCTAGCATTCATTTACCCCTCCTCTATTCATCTTTGTTTATTGTCAATCTAAAAAAATGTAAATATCTATGAACGAATAACATCCCCCTCTCTTGTCTCTGTGTCCCAGAAGCTCTAAACAAATATGAGGAAACTCTCATGTTGGGGAGGAGGAACCTCCCACCAGAATTTTTACTTTGTCTTAAGAAAATATATATGAAATTCCCATACATTGATTTCAGGTAGTATTTTTAATCCAAAAAGCACATAGATATGCAGGAGTTCTTGACGTCTTTTGGATTTTTCAGTTGCTCAGAAGGGTGCTTCCTTTGTCCTTTCCTGTGCCTTCACCAGGGTACTTGGGATTTCTTTCGCATTTTTAAATGTTACAGCATTACAAAGGTTTTTGTGTAGTTCTTTTCAAAACACTAAAATCGTGTTTATTAGATTTTAGCGAGACATATCATGAATCATAAAAATTGCACGTTCTTATAGTGTGTTTCTTGACAACTTGTTCTCCAACATTGTTTTGCAGATGTGTTGCTCTTTGCAGCCTTGGTATTTGGATCTGTGAGGAGCTAGTTCATGAATCACATCATCCTCAGATCAAGGAAGCATTGAATGTGATTTGTGTTTCTTTAAAGGTGAGAGACAAACACTTTTACCATGTATATTGCCTTTATGTGTAAAGATACTTCGCCTTTTCAAAGTCATGATCACATTTTGGCATCCTTACTTCACAGTCTCATTTTCAATCCTTACAAAAGACTGAATTCAGTTTAACTGGTGAATCTCTGAACTCTGTCAAAAGAGACCTTTACCGTTATTTAAGTCTGGAGGAAATGGTGTGCTAGGAAATAAGATAGTGGATCCCTATCTTAATATATATCATTAGCCACTTCACTCTAACCCTCTACCCTTTGGAGCATAGTAGTTTATCCATCATCCCAGCTTTCATAAAGAGTCCTTGCAATTCGTGTTTCAGCAAAACCACTACTGTTTTTTTTCTGACTTTTTCCAGCCATGCCCCTTCCCACATACTGGACCCAAGCTTCCAGCAGGGTTTTCTGCATCTGTTTGTAACTAGACCTAAGAGCCTGTGGTGGATTAACCTTGGGTAAGGGCCAAACTCCCACCCAGCTGCTCACTCACTCCCCCTCCTCAACACGACAGGGGGAGAAAACAGGATGAAAAATCTTGTGGGTCAAGATGAAGACAGAGAGATTGCTTACCAGCTACCATCAAGGGCAAAACAGATCTGACTCGGGGAAATTAATTTAATTTATTGTCAGTTACAATAATTTGGGCAGTGAGAAACAAAGACAAAATTTAAAACACCACCTTTCCCTGCGCTCCCCCTTTCCCAGGCTCAACTTCACTCCTTCATTTCAAACTCCTCTGCCTCCTCCTGCCCCCTCCCAAGTAGTGCAGAGAGGATGGGGAATGGGGAGTTAGGGTCAGTCCATAACAGTTCCTCTCTCCACTCCTTCCTCCCTGTTCCAATGTGGGTCCTTCCACTGGCAGCAGTCCTTCAGGATAAGCCTGCTCCAGTGTGGGCTGTCTGTGGACTGCAGTTCCCTCAGGAGATATCCAGTGCTGCAGTGTGGGGTACTCCACAGCTGCAGTGTGGATATCTCCGCTGGCATGGTCTTTTCCATAGGCTGCAGGGGAATCTCTGCTCCAGCACCTGGAGCACCTCCTCCCCCTCCTCCTTCTCTGACCTTCGTGTTCACCTGCTGTTTCTCATTCATTTTTTTATTTCTTCTCTGCCTGTGTGGCGTTTTTGCCCTTTCTTAAATATGTTTTCACAAAGGTGCCACACACTTGGCAGATGTGCTCAGCTGTGTCCTGTGGTGGGTCTGTTGCAGAGCTGGCTGGAACCTCCCGTGTCTGGCATGGGGCAGCCCTTAGCCTCTTCTCACAGAGATCCCCCCTGTAGCCTCTCCATTACCAAAACCTTGCCATATACACCCAGTACAGATCCATACAAAGACTCTGGAGTACAGAAGTGTCGGAGTCTTTCCTTCTCCAGCATTTGTGTCTCCTGTCTAGGCTAGCCATGGATGCCAAGGGAAGTCACATTCCTCACTAATTGGCATCCTGGGTTCCCCAGCTCTGATTTATAGTACTCTTAAAGCCTCCATGGTACATTCTCCTGACACATTGCAAAAGGGAAAGGCCCGGGTAGAGAGGAAACTGGAAGGGATCCCAGTTTTGGGAGCCATCTGCCATCATATGCAAAAAGCCTGTCCCAGGCCAAGTTGCTGCCTTGTAGGCTGCCAGACTGAGTGGAGCATCCAGTGTAAGAGGGGGACAGGGAAGAAAGTGGGAAGGTGACAAATGCAAAGGCCAAGCAGAAGTTTCCCAAAGCTTCTCATGCTTCTTGCTCACCTGCCCTCTTCTTGCCCCCGCCAACCAAATCCCATTAACCCCATGTCCTCACTACATTCTGTGCCTGTTCACTTCTGAGTTCGAGAGCCATTGCGTTATGCAGTATTGCTTCTCAGCCTTGGCCAGATATTTAGAGGGAGATGTAGAGTACTTATGCCGCATGCCTGGAAGCACTGGAGGATGTTTGATTTCCTGTGGCAAAGTGCTCTATGCTCCTTCCAGGACATGTCATTCAGGCCAGTACCTGTTAGAAAAAATCTGAATCCAAAGACGGGTCAAGAGTTGCCATCAAAGTTTATGTGAATGAACTATCTGTTGAAAGGGAATAATGAGAAATTCTGATTTTGGTGAGAAGTAAAGAGCACCTGTTTTTATGGCTATCATTAAAATTTATTTCCTGTTTTTTATGAAGCATGCTGCAAAACTGGGTAATTTTACAGTTTTTCAGAAGGATTTAACTTTTCCTTTTTAACAGGTGTGGTGGGTTGGCCCCAGCTAGCAGCCAAATGCTCATCCAGCCGCTTGCTCACTCACCCACCCCAAGCAGGAGGGGGGAGAACACAGGAAGAACAGCAGTGGGTCCCTGGCCCCTTTCCACAGAGGCCACCCCTGCAGCCCCCCGCTACCAAAACCTTCCCACCTACACCCAATACGATGGTTCTGAAACTAATTTGTAAGATAAAACTTCACAGTCTCTGGTAGTCACCATGTAATTCTGTATAAACAGCTTCACATTAAGTTCTTGAAATCCAGGATGATTTACTGTTGTGGTATTTGCTGTTCTGATTGAATCTGTTAAACATAGCTATTTGCACAGTGATTCTCACCCAGAAAAGTAGCTTGCTCAGATATAGCTAGTTCATTGTGGTGCAACACCTATAAAATGCTTCTGAATAGAAGAGGTTTTATGACATTTGTCTGCCTTTCCTTTTGTGAATGACAGTTTTCACTATTCTGAAACTAGTCTCACTGGATTTCAACTCTGGTCGTGAGATTTTGTATTGGTGGTATTTTATCAACAGTATATTCCTTTCATCATCTCTGTTAAAAAGCTGCACTTTTTTGGCTTTTTTTTTTTCCTTGATGGAGTGTTTTTATTTTACTACTTTTTGCAAATCTTTTTCATATTTGTTCATATTTTATGGAATAATTAGAATATTATTAAAAACATCTTATTTTCTAGCATTTTGCAAACTTGCATGTTCATGAACAATATCTTCAACTTTTTAAATATGTCCCAATTTATTTTCAGAACCTTTCTACATGCTCTTTGTTTACATCAAAATTCAATGAATAGTCTAGTCTTTCTGTATATACACATAAGTAAAAATTGGGGGTACACTTGTTATACATGGTTTGTGTTAGATGTTGTGAACTAACTCTTCTTTTCAGCAATGGGAATCTGAAAAGTATCTTAGCAAATCAGCTGATCACATCCTGTGAAGCAGGATTTGAGTCTACGTCTAAAATGAGTAGCTGCAGGGCTTTTAGTATTAGACTCTAAATTGCAATTTCCTGTTTTGTAAAATCACATTCATCCTTTGCAGCTTCACTAATACTCTCTTCCAGGGTTTTCACCTTGCTTTTTAATATCCCTTAACTAGTGCATTTTATCAAGTTCCTGTGCAAGTTTGGTATTAGGCAAATGATGCTGGTTTTATCTTACTTCTGCAATTTATCTAAGTTTAAACTATTTTTAATCCTGACATTCACTGTGATTTCTCTTATTTTTCTTTGACGTATTTATTAAACCAATTATTTGTATCTCATTTATATTAAACATAAATTACGTCTTGAATGAGAAGACAAAGATATTTATATTTCTACTTTGCTTTGGTTTGTGTTGGCAAGAGCATCCAGAGCATGTTGGCTTTTCTCCTGTTCTGAGCATAGAGTTTAATTATGAAATGAAAAGTTCATAAATATATCATGGGAGAAACAAATTAGCTCTAATTTGTTACCAAAGCAATCTCTGGCTTCCAAATAGTTGGAGATTTGAACTCCCAGAATGAATTATTTTCTTATTTTCAGGAGAAATGAATGGATAGGGAGCTGTAGTCCTAGTCCAGCTTACTGATAAGTACAATTGGCCAAATAACATTGACTAGAAATGTTAGCAACAGTTATATGCCTATTTCTGAAATACAGAAGCATGCTCAGAACTGCAGTCCAGCAGCTCACTCTGAATATAGCTAGCACTTCTCCCAGCAGTGTGGCAATACTGCTGTATCTGTGTTAACCTCTGCTGAAGTCCGAGCCCAGAGGATCCTAACCAGCCATCCAGACCCCTGCTTCTCATCTTTATGTTATGCTCCCCTCAAAAATCCTTCAGATACATCACAAAACTATGTTGTACAGGCTTAGTTGAATGAGTGCCAAAAATAGGTTATTTGCAAGTATGGACAAGGTTAAACTACTAATGTAACATCCAGAAAGCAATGGAACCCTTGCAAAGATGAGAAGTATGTCAAGACTACCCTTCCAAGAAAAACCCTGAGAGTTAGGTACCAGGCAGAGTGCCAGGTCATTGAAAGCTTTTTTTTTCCCCCCATCGAGTAACTTTTAAAAAATTTATGCCCACAATTACACTACTATATATAAAATCATATCAAAGTAGTGAATTCTTACACTTTATCACATCTAGCATTTTCCTGAGATAAAGAACGGCTAGTGAAATGTTGGTGGCATCGCACAGCCGTCTTTGTGCCACCTCTGAAGGCTCTTGGAAGAGAAGTCAGAACAAAGCAGCTGACTTGAAAGGGGTGAATTGTTTTGCTATCTAGCATAAACCCAGTGTTGCTGCTTGAGTTTAGGAAAATGTCCTTCCAGGACACACAGCTACAATTGTCTGTTCTAAAGCGTCTGCGCATTCTTTTGAAATGTGATATATTGACCACGCTGGCACAGATTTCTGAAGTAGATGAAGGGTTTGATCTGTTTGCACCAATCTCCGTATTCTTGATCAAAACTTCCTACCTGGTACTCTTCCCAGGAAAAAGAAAATTCCAGTGCACAAGATTTGAATTTTAGTTATATTCATTACTTTATACCCTTCAGTCTTTTGTTCCCTTTCTTAAATTAAAAAAAAATATTAAAACATTATCTTCAACCAGAGAACAGAAAGAGCTTAATTAATTTGCATAAACCAGCAGTGGAAATCATTCACTCATCTTCATTTTAAAGCCTGATGATCCTCTTTTTAAAAAAATAAATGAAAAGAAGAAAATGCTCCCTGTTTTTAAGTAGTGAACAGCTGATTATTCAAAGACTCTGAAAGGTCTCCAGGCCTTTTTCTCAGGTAATTTTTTCTTAAATTCAGTGATCTGGATACTCTGTATTAAGCTACTCTGGATTGTCCACCCCTTTTGTCCTCTCCAGTGACTTTGGGGTTTTCCTGCAAGCTTGTAAGGATGTTTCCAGCAATCTGGATTTGATCTCAAGTTCTGTAATCAAATTGTTATGCTTTCAATTTTATTTAATTTTTTTTGGTTGTCACTCGAGCTTGAACACTAGAATCTGTACCCTGCTTACTGTGCTCCTACAGTGTACGTTCATAGCATGGAGAGAGACTGTCTCATGAGGGATAAAAAATAATGGTGTTCCTGTTATAAGCTCTGGGAAGACTTGCAGATGTAAGATGTCTGCCATGTTTTAGTTAAAAGCCATCAGTAGTGTGAAACTGCGTCCACTGAGAAACAGGGAAGGTCAGAATTAACTACCCTGTGTACTCTGGTTTCCGTGTCTGTGGCTGACTTGTAAGACCCATTCATAGTCTTTCTTTATGCTTACATAGATACCACAAATAAAAAATGTTAATTAAAGCTTCATACTCCATACTTTTGCTTATGCTTGTACTTTTAATGTTCTTTTCAAGACCTTAAATGTAAAAAATGATAGCTCTGCTTTGATAAGAAGCTGGCCCAGGGCAGAGTTTTCTTCCAGCGCATTTTCCACCTTTAAATTTTTGCCATTCAAAAATTTTATTCTGAAATCCTTAATTTTCTGTTCAGGCTTCGTTGCCCAGGCATGTCAGCTTTC